ACGCAAAAATAAGCTGGTTAAAATCCATTAATAATTAATAATTTACCTTGCACTTTGCTCAATAATTATAATTTAATAATTGTTACATCGTCTACATCATTATATTAAAAATTTCGATTTCATACTTCTCAACGATCATGTTGTTATTACGTAATCGTTTTTCGGGTTTGCAGGTCACGTTCATTATTCATTATCCATGGGTGCAGGTACAGAGTTTGCTATAGTATTTGTAGTGTCGATAAGTGACATATCATCGTGTGAGGCATAGTCAAGGAAGTAGTGATTTCTTCACAATCAGGGTGGCACTCAGAGTTGTAGCACTCATACTTAGTAGCAGTAAAATGTTTAGAACCCAGTTGTAAATTGTCGGTATAAATTGTTTTGAATTTTAACATGTTACTATATTTTCTAACACTGAAAAACACTTTTTAGAATATCACATCAGTATCTTTTGTCTCGTTTCAGGGCCTTCTTACCAAGCAATTTTTTCCTAACGCTATTTCGCTTGGCTAATTTCTTCTTCTGAGGTGCCATCCTCTTGGATGGTGGAAGCGGAATGTGTCCGCGAAAGCCTAATAATTTTATAACGTGTTCATTATCATCAACATTTCAACAAAGAAATGTATTTGAGGAGAACATATATCAATTTTTAAAACAATTAAACTCATCAAATGTGCCAAAAACTGGTTGCCTAATCCGTTCGAAGAAATAATCCTATATTTCTTTTAGTTGAAAGGCATGGCTCCGTAATTGGTTTCAAACTTTCATTTGCTTAAACCTTGAAAATTGTCAGAGCTAGTATTTCTCAACCATTATTTGAAACGATTAACAATACAAAGAAGGTCACGACAGAAAAATTTGTACATAATCTGGCGAAGCCGCCGATTAACCTTTCAAATTATCGGTTTTGTATTTCAAGTCAGTTGCGGCTATCTTACCGTTCCCATAGACATTCCTTGTCATTAGTATCCCTATGACAACAGATATTTTATTGAATAACTGAATTTGATATAAAATGAGTGAAATATTTTTTTTATGTCGAACGGTTTCATTAAAAAAAAGATAATACTGATGTAGATAATGTACTAAAAACTAAAAATTAATTCGGAAGGTCCTAGTTAGCAGTCATCACACCACTCTCCTCAGCAATCTACGGTATTGATTAGATAAAAAATAATGAAATGTTCGGTATTTCCAATTTTAAAATGTCCTAGAATCGTTCTGCGAAATCACTGTGGAGGTTCTCCAATTGTTGGCAGTAAACAAGCAAGTCATCCTTGTTGAAGGATACTGCTGACAAATTAGAGAAATTGCGAAACTCACGTCTGTCGATATTATTTTTGTATAAGAGCAATTTGGCTACAAAAGCAACTATGACATTTTTGTTTTGATCAAATTCAAGTCGTCACCTTGAAGTCGGAGATTGACATCATTAAATAATTTATACAGGTCTGTCAAGTACGCAATATCATTCTTTGAAGTGATGAGGTTGTCGTGCAATTATTTGTGTTTGTTTTCCAAGTAGTCTAGTACAGAGTCAAATAGATTGTAAAATCGAGTCAGACAGTTATCTCTTGCAATAGCAATCGGTTGAAATCTTCATCATTAGCAACACAAAGCTGATTAAATAATCTGTCATTTAAAGGGCTGTTTCGGATTTTATTGTCTGCTTTGATGATATATTGCAGTGATTGAGGGAAGAACTCACTCAAATTTTTCGCAACCAAATGTTGCCTATGAATGACGCAATATAAAGCGAGCACATCTGGAATTCAATTTTTAAGTACACTATGAAGCCTTTGTGACTTCCTGTCATAGCCGGAGCGCCATCCGTAGCAGCTGATATAATATTCTTCAGTGGAATTTCTTTCTCATCACAAAATTATTCTCCTTTTGTATCCGTCTCTAAATTTTTGGCAAATAGTAGTTTTTTATATATTTTCTCATTTTTAATCAACCTCACGTATGACAACAACAATGCTTCATAGGTTGGTAAAGTGGACTCATCTAACTGAATTGAGAATTTAGAAGTCTTCAGATGATTGCACAATGACTCTTCAATGTTTTTAGCCATCTCATCAATTCGTCTTTGCACGGAACTATTGCTCGAAGGAATTTTTCGGATAATATCTGCCGCTGGTTTATGGAACACAGTATTTATTACTTCTTTTATTGCCGGTAAAATTAAATCCTCTCCAATAGTATGATGTTTACCTGTTTGAGCAATTAGCAAGGAGATATTGTAGAAAGCTCGGAGTCCGTCGTCGTCTTGCTTAGAAGCCTATGAAAACATTTTTGACACAGTTGGCTGAGCTGAGTGTTTTTTTCCAGTTCTTGAAAATAAGTCACACTTTTGTCTTTTTTATCTGAATGCATTGTATTCAAATTATCTTGTAGCCTTGAGGGTTTCATCACTTCATTCGAAAATGTTTTTTTGAGAAAGAAGGCACATAGGCGAAGATGGATTTGTGGGATTTTCAATAAATCCATATTTTATATGTTCCGCGCTATACTGCCGTTTTTTCTTTTTTGCTTCCAACATAATTTTGTCTTCAAAAATGCCGAAGTGAAGAATTGAGTATTAAAAACTTGTTAATGACACCACTCACAGTATTCACCACTGCACGTACAGCACTTTACCTAGCTAGTCGCTAACTAAATTCACTTGTTTTCATAATATTGTCGAATTACATTACTGGCTGGATGGCGCGCGCGCTTTTATATGAGGCTCCACCATACCCGCAAGTTCAAACCATCCACCATCACACAAAATGGCTGCCTGTAACGCATTCATATATAGAATGCTAAGGATACCACTCAGCAATGAAACCCGAAACAAAGAACGGAAAATCATATACCAAATAGCGAACGAGGACGGATACACCCAAAAGACAATAAATAAATTAGAAAACAGAATCAAACAAAAAATACAGGACAAGAATCAAGCCACCCCAACAGACAAAACAACACAACGATGGACAGCATTTACGTACGTAGGACACCAAACCAAAAAACTAACAAACTTCTTCAAGCCACTGAACATCAACATCACATACAAGCCAAACACGAAAATAATACAAAAAATAAACAACTATGAGAAGAAGAAGAAGAAAAAATCCAAAACGGGATATACACTATACAATGCTCGGACTGCAACAAATTCTATATCGGCCAAACCAAGAAAAAACTGATCCAAAGGTACGAGGAGCACAAAAAGACATACATAAATCCAATAGTAACTAAATCAAACTTCGCAACACACGCCATACAAAATAAACATAATTTCCCCCCACCAGAGAACATAAAACTCATAAAACAAATCAACAAGGGAAACCGCATGGATATTTGGGAAAACTTAAACATCCATAAATCTAACAGTCAAAATCACTTATCGAGGAACAAGAAAAAAATCAAAACACATCAAGATCTAATATTCAATATATCAAACAAATCAATATACACTTCTAGAAACAGTACACCTAGAGTACACCCAAATACAGGCAAATTTACCTAAAATACCTGGAGTACCTGAATTGAGGCGTTCTGACCGTATAAAAAGACATTCAACAATGACACGTTCAGTTTGAGTAGTGCCGAGATGATGACAGTACGACCCTGTCGAAAGCGCTCGCAGATAATTAAATAGAAGTTGCAACTAATTTTCCTATATTTTCAGTATTTTAGTATTACTCGTTATTACTATCAGCACTTGTCCAAGAACGCCACATTTTAAACAGATAACAAAAATTAATTATAACAAAAATTAATCGTTACTGCACTAATATCGAATTTCAACACTCAAATCGCGATAACTTCCTGAACTAAACATTGACAACACGACGGCTCGCATTCTATTCGTCACCGTAACATGACTTCGAATTTAATTTTATGACTCATCAGCCAATCATAAAACTCGGTTAGTAAAAATTATCTAATACGAACCGCCAATTCTTCAGTCACGTGGACTAATCCGTTGCGGCATAATTCCTTTGTATTGTTTTTTTTGGACTTTGACTTCGCCGACACCTTTAAGATTACTATATCAGTTATTTCGACTATACCTGCTGACTATCTGTTCTTGAAACTACCTGTTTACCAATCAGTAGTCTTTATGATTCAATGTCGATAATTTGTATAAATTGTATTGTTCTTTTTTTTTTCTATTAGTCAGTGGGCTATGCTTGAAGACTGGCAATCAACAAATATAAAGAAATGAACTTTAAACGTTCAAGCCAGTCTCGAATATACCTACACAGTAGGTTAAATGTCGTATATAATCCAACGCCCTTCGTGGTATTAGCCAGGGGAGTAGTTGTTTTCTAATAGGCGTCAGCCATTTAACCTGCTGTGTAGGTATATTCGAGACTGTCTTGAACGTTTAAATTTCATTTATTTAGATTAATTGCATTGTTATTTAATGCAGAGTACCGGTCCTACTGAAAAAACTACTATTTAACGAAAGGGGTAAATGAAAATGAAGTCATTGTCGTGGAAATTTGCAATTATCATCATGAATGAATTTATGAAATGAATAGCATTTCTTTACATTACATAATTACCAATTATTCATCATTCATACTGCTTCAAACTGAAATTGATTACTTACCTCAGAATTGGATTTATGAAAGACTGTACTTTTACCTTTTGAAGAGAAAATTTTGAGAAAGCATTCTCTGGTTTTCAACTTCCCTGTAAAACTAGTCTTTCCTGCTATTAATCACACGTTAAAAGGTAGGACCTCTTTAATTCTTTGCTCACGCAAGTTGCCGTTCGTAAGGTACCTAATAGCGACAAAAAAAGTTTAAAGAGATGATAATTCTTTTGAGACAATTAAATTATCCACAATCATTCTAACCAGATATAAATTATACGCATACTTGAGATGCGATAAAGATCATAAATGATTGACTTATTTTATGACAAAGTTTTCAAAAAGTCTTCTAACTCCCGCAATTTACTTCCTTAGTAAGTATATTTCAAGTTTTATTATTTTGTTTCAGCGAGTCTAATGAAGTAGTCGACGTCTTAGGGGAATTGAAAGCAGTGGCAAGACCAGTAGGAATCACTTTCGATGAGATGATCACTCTCATGAATCAGTGCAAACAAATTGAAGAAATGCAAAGGTCTCACATCCACGAGGAGTTACTAAAAAACGAATCTGTCGATCTTGAACAAGGAAGAGGTTCAAAAAATCCCTTAACTCTACTTAGTGGTATCATTCCGGGTACGTATTTTAATTTAATTGAGTATTCTAGAAAATTACAGGAAAGAAAATATTTTCGTAATGATCAAGTTTTCTGCAATATTCTGCTGATTAGTCCTTTTCTTTAAATGGTGACACGGATTACAGTGACAGTTAGCAAGTATTTGTTTTACTGTGCAGAGAGTAATATCAATTAATTATACCAATTAAATACTTTATTTCGTATCTTTCAAACTTTTATGAAATTCAAAATTCAGAGAATGTCAGTTTTTGGCATTTTCCTTGAGATATATGATGGAATTGGCCGATACTTGATGAAAATCCATAGCTAACGTATTCAAAAAACACTTCATGGTGAGATTTTCACTAAACAGTTTTACAAAAACGCAACGCGTGTTTGGCCATAGACTGGCTTCTTCGGGTGTGTCCTTATTTTTTTTGTCAAGATTTTCTCACCTACATCTGTAGAGGAGGGAGGGTGAGTGTAGGCCCACAACACTTAGGCCACATGTGACCCATTGTACATCCTCTCAAGGAGGTATCCTCCTAGGCCATTGTCCACCCTGTCTTTTCCAGAAAGGTGGACAGGTCACTAGGAGACATCTCCTTTATATTGACAGGTATAGACCAAGACTCACTGAACACACACTCTCTTATTGACGATAACTCCTAACACTCGCATAGGAGATGCCTGACAGTTTCATCTTCCTGTTCACACATCCTGCATTAGAGGTGTCTCCACTAGCCCCATATTATGGGGGCGTTTCCTTAGTTGACAGTGGCCAGTCAGAAATCCCACTGTTAAGCGTAGATTTTTCCTGGTCATTGCCAGATATTTCTTCGGCGCCAGCTTTCCAGGGTCGCCCAGGGTGATCCTGGCAAGATTACATCTTTTGATTCCTTCCCATCTCTTCAGGGATTGAGCATGGGTGTGACGTTTGTAACACTGGGTCCTAAAATTCTTAGTTCAGCCGCTTCTTTGACTAAAGAGTCGGCAATGCGATTACCTTTACTCCTGTCGTGCCCTTTAATCCACCTCAAGATAATGTTACTATCTTCCGAGGCTTTGGCTAAATCTTGGTGGCACTCTAGTACGAGCCCTGAGGCATGTTTTTGCCAGAAATTCCTTTCCTGGTTATTTCTTTTGTGGCGATTGAGATACCAGCCAGTTCTGTTTGAACCACGCTGGTATTTTTCCCTATTCACCACCTTATCCTTAGGCTTAGTGATCTGGAGTACACTCCACATCCTTAGCCTTCTTTGGTTTTTGAGCCGTCTGTATACATGCGTATTGCATTTGTAGCATCTGACTCTGTGTTTTGTTTTATTTGTATTTTGTAGGGTTTATTAAACACAAACCTGGGTTCAACTGCATCACTGGTTGCCTGCAGCAGAGGTTGAGCGGTGAGCGCTTCTCGCCATAGGCTCAGCCTCAATTGATCCATTCCTACTTCGAGGTTTACATCAGCCGTGCGCAATCGTAACATGGACATTAACGCAACCGCCTTAACATACAGGTCCAGAGGGGTCAGACCAGTAATTAATTCTATTACAGCGGTTAGTGTTGTTCTCATGGCTCCTATGATGTTTAAACAAGCCAACCGCTGTATTTGATATAATTTTTAGATAGCCGTTGCTTGTAGAACTTTCGGTCTCCATGCAATGGCTCCGTACGTTAACGTAGGTCTTATTATTGCAGTGTAGATGCAGGTGACCACACGGGGTGTGGTATTTCACCTCTTCAGAGAAGTTTAGTTTGCTTTTGAAGATTTCGGGAGGTTTAAAGCCCAATAAACTTTTTTTCCTGGTGAAAAGGACCATCTCAGTCTTCCTGGGTTTGATCGACAGTGAGTGTTCCTTATTCCATGTTTCTATTAATTTGAACCTATCCTGCGCTCTATCGCACAGTGTGTTCACAAATTTGCCGTTCTGCATGATAACTATGTCATCTGCATATGCAATGGTGTAGAATCCATTATTGTTGAGGTGATTACGCAGGGTATCCAGAACTATGTTCCAAAGAAGGGGTGATGAGACCCCTTCCTGTGGATATCCCCTCATGACCAGTCCTCTCACTGTGATGTCTTCTACATTGATACTTATTGCTCTACTAGAGAGCATCTTGAGTCTCCATTCTCCTACTACCAGAGGTACATTCCTGGAGTGTAGTTGCTGGGTATTTGTTGGAAAGGCTGTTTTATCGAACGCTCTCTCGATATCTATGAATGGGTTAAAATTGGCAATTACACTTCAGATAGTATTGAAGTTCATTCTGGGGTTCCCCAGGGAAGTCACTGTGGCCCCCTACCTTTCAACCTATTTGTCAATGACATTGCCCTAAGTATTCAGTATTCTCAAATTCTACTATTTGCTGACGATTTAAAAATATTTAAAGTTATTGAAAATGAAATTAATTGTCATCAACTTCAGAGTGATATCAATAACCTTGTACATTGGTGCAATTCCAATGGAATGGATCTGAACCTCAATAAATGCTTCTTTATAAATCACAATAGAAATCATACTTCCATATACTTTTCATACTCTATCAATTCATTAGACCTAGAACGGGTATCTCAAATGAAAGACTTGGGGGTTTTATTGGATGATAAACTATCGTCTTCTCAACACATTATAATGATCTCCTTGAAAGCACGCAAGATGCTAGGTTACATCAAGAGACTATCCAGAGACCTTTCAGTCAATGCCCTTGAAGTTTTCCATTGTGCATTTGTCCGTTCAATCTTGGAATATGCGTCGGTGGTATGGAAACCTTCACTATCAAACTTATATTAATATGCTGAAAACGGTTCCACACAAATTTTTAAGATCTGCATACAAATTAGGAATCCATGTAGACAATTATGACTATGATTATCCAGCCCTATGTTCATCTTTGAACATAACTACTCTGGTGAACAGAAGAATAGAAATTGGCTTATGCTTTTTGTTCAAGTTGCTAGCTGGTGAAGTTTATTCACCAGATCTCTTGTCCCACATTGATTTTAAAATTAGTACCTCTGGTACTAGGTCAAATGACACCTTTCATAAAAAATACCATTACCGTAACTATGGATTCCACAGCCCTTTATCAACAATGGTAAGGAATGCAAATAAAGTAGATTTGAACTACTTCGGCATACTCTATTCTACTTTCAGACGAGAATTAAAAAATATAAAAGATAAAGACATACACTTGGCCTTATGATGCTGTTTGAATGAGTGATCTTATTCTCTTAAGAGTATATTAATGTGCAGTGAAAGAATATTTTATATGTATGTGTGTATTTATGTATTATGTAACACTTGAAGATGCCCCAGCCAGAATTCTGATTACCTTTTTCTGAATAACAAACACTTCATCAGCTTTAGCTGATGAGCCCCACTGTTCAAGACCATAGGAAATCACTGACTGAATTAAACTGTGGTATAAAAACATATTTCCAACAGTTTGTAAATCGTTGTCAACGCACATGTCGGGTAAATATTGGTTTCTGATTAATTTGAAATTTCTGATTAGAACAGCTGACTTCAGTTCAACTGAAGTTTGGCATGGAATTTCAACATAACCTTTAAAAATAAATCTAATCAAGTGTATTTCTGGAGAGTAAAAGGAGGTTGCAGTATTTTATGAGTTACTTCTTTGCATGATCTACGCATCCATGTATAGAGTTACTTATTTTAAAATTTAATACTTTCTTCCTTTCCTTGGAAGATTTCCTCATCCTTGTTTTTTGTATTAAGATGGAGTAGTAGAAAGCCAAAAACTTTCTTTCCCATATTTTAAGTATGTTTTATATTTTATAAGACCACAATTTAAAATAAATGTATATAGCTTTTCTCTGTAGTGAAATTATGTTTTGTAGGTATACATATTCAGGACCGCAAATTTTATATTAACTTGTACAATGCTGTAATGGACATTCCATAAATAAATAAATAAATCCAGGCTGGATTCTTTGTTGTCCAATGATCTTTCGATTCTGCCAACCACATGGTGAAGGGCTGAATCAGTAGACCTTCCCGAAGTATATGCATGCTGATTTGGATGAAGTGGGTTGTGAACTAGTACTTCAACTCTTATATATCGCTCACATAGCCTCTCCATATGGTTTTTAAAAAGAAATATGTGAGACTAATTGGTAGGAATGCATTTGGTAATGTGTAGTCCATCCTACCTTGTTTGGGAAGTGAATTTCCATAAGAATCTCAGCACTCTCTTGGAGGTTGGCGGCTTTGTCGCCATTTTCCCTCGTCAGGAGGCCGATACTCTTTTGGTGGCCGTTTGAGAGCGCCTTCTGTAGCCTAGAAGCTAGTGGGAAGTCTTCGACTGCCTCACAATAGTCTCTCCAGGCTTCTCGTTGTCTTTGTCTGCAGACTTTTTTGAACTCTCTGAGGTTGGCTTGCGATATATACCCCAGTCCTCTTCGAGTCTTGTACGTTTTGCCTTGTTAAAGGTCGTTCTCGCTGTCTTCCTGAGGTGTTCCAGTTCAAAGCACCACCATGTATTGGTTGTGCCATCCTCATCGGACAGGATTCCTTTTAGGCAATGTCTATTTTGTTTTGGATAGATACCGTGTACCTTTCCAGTTCTTTATTATTGCCAGGAGTCAGAGTATTGTTAACAGAACATTGGTGTAATAGTAATGAGCCTATATACATACCTTGCTACTCTGTGGTATGCAGAAACTCAAGAGCAGGCTCAAACCACGGGAGAACAGTTATTCTGGTGGCTGACACTGTAATTACCGATTACTCTTTCTCTCAAATCGAAAAGTTCAATGACCTCTTGGATGATAAAACATTCGAATTCACAATCTGCTTTAGCAAAAAATATAATTTATATGTTGTTTGCCTTTATACCGATCTCCCTCTACGAATGCTAATATATTTTTGAGAAACTAGAGCTACTCTTGTCCGACCTGCCGATAAATAGTTCTATAATCGTAACAGGTGAATACAATATCAATTAAGATGACTGTGATTCTCTGGTTAATGAGTCACTGAAGAACTTACTTTTATCATTTGACTTAAGTATGCACGTTGATACGGATACTCGCTTCTCTCGATTTTCTGCATCCTGCATCGACTATGTCTATAGCAATATTGTAAAGCAAAATGTTTCATGCACAGTTATTCCATCCGTATTATCTGATCATGAAGCAGTGATATGTTCTATTGTTTTAAAATCAACAAAAAAACAAACCATACATAAGTATGGTAGATTGTTCAGTCGTTCAAACTATGATGAAAGGTACCTGGTGTACCACAGGGTTCTGTGTTAGGCCCTGTTCTGTTTCTGCTATATATTAATGACATATCTATGATTAACATATCTGGTAGTTTCACTCTATTCGCGAATGATACCAAAATATTATAGAAAGAAAAAGACTCAATGGGGCTAAATAAAATAGTATCATCCGACTTGAAGAAGGTGAAGAGGTGGTGCGATGCAAATTTACTCTCTCTAAATGCATCCAAAACGAATATATCATTCAAATATTCGCTTGATGACATTTCAATAGACGCTGACGTATTATAAAATAAATTAAACACAAAATTTCTCGGTGTATTCATTGATAATAGGCTGAAATTTGATGAGCACCTCAAATAACTGAAGAGTAAGATCTCCTCAGGATGTTATGCAATTAAAGTGGTTTCAAATGAGTTGGTTTCCATGTCGCAAAGACCGTTCACCATGCACTTATTGAATTTCGACTACGTTATGGAATACCTTTTTGGGGAGCATGCAACTCATCCCTTCTCTCTTCTGTATTGATATTACAGGAGAGGGCACTAAGATGTCTCTGTAAAGTCAAACCCAGAGAATCGTGCAGGAATTTGTTCACTGCCAATAAAATGTTAACAGTCAACGCACTTTTTATCTTAGAGACAGTTTGCCTTATTTATAAACATAAATCGAAGTTCAACTTTGCTTCTACTCCTTATGCTACTCGCAATAGCAATTATACCTTTAGACTTCCCATCCCAACTTCGAATTTATTCAAGGATTCCATATACTACAATGATGGTAAATTGTTCAATCATTTACCTCAGAAATGAGATCTGCAAATTTAAGCAACGTTCATTTCAAAAAGGCGGTGAAGAACCTACTTGTGGATAGATTATAGTTTGGAAGAGTATTTTAGCGAATCCTTTTAACAATATATTAGCAATATATTACTACTATTTTTACTACTATTGTACTATCACTTTATACATGGTGGTATTTTATCTATAGATTTTTAGAACTTTTTTTATATTTACATTTATTCATTTTTGGAACTATTTTATACCTACATTTATACTTTTTTAGTACTTTTTCTATATTAACATCGTATTTCTTGGACTTTGTCAATAAGATGCAAATCTTCGGACAATAAAGTATATTTTGATTTGATTTGAGGTTTGACATAAAAATTATCACCATTCCACCAAGGACTCTCATGATTAGCATTACCATTTCTACAGAGTATTCTATGAGATGATTGACGAGAGAAAGATATTTCCAGAAACTTAATCATAAATATTGCCCTGGTCCATATTTCACTCTTGTTTTCTGAGAAATTTGGCACTTATCATTTCTCATTAGGAATTCGATATTTTAGGGCTACAGTCTGAGACCACATGTGGTGAAAACTTATGTTTTGAAAAGGTAATGCGTAATATTTTGTAAATGAAAATAGTTTGAGTGCAGGACGAAATGAAATGAAAATGTTCAATTCGCTTAAGGCATAATAAATGAATAATTGAAAATATAAACATAACATATATATATATATATATATATATATATATATATATATATATGTTATATGTTATTCAGCCTATTGGGCATCTTCTGTACCGGGTAGGCGGTCCTCGATTGAAGACAAAATGAGAAAAACCAAAAAAGTACTTGATAAAAATAGCTGCATAAACGCAAGCGAAACATAAGTGGAACCACCCATTGGTGTGACACCCAAGTCAACTTGCCAAGTTTTTATGTCAATGTTGGTTAATTGGTCAAACCACCATATCACCATATATATCAATATATCTTCAAGAGGAATATCTCCCTCTTGCAAGAGGGAGCCATTGGGTGACTCACTTGGCATAGTATAACCATTTGTCTTCATTTTGCCCCACCCTTCCCTGCATATTTCATAAATGATTCTGTTAACGTAATGAAGTTTTCCATTTTGAATTTCAGGTACAAAATGGTGTGGGGCTGGCGACATAGCTAAAAATTACTTCGATTTGGGAGCGGAACCTGCAGTAGATACTTGTTGTAGGGCTCACGATTTATGTCCTGTTAAAATATTACCATATATGGAGAGGTACAACTTGACGAATAATTCAATATATACGAAATCACACTGCAAATGTGATGACGAACTGTTTAGGTGTTTAAAATCGGAAAATAGTTCTAACAGTGCCAACATCATGGGAGCCATTTACTTTAATGTTGTCCAAGTGGCGTGCTTAGAAGATACCAAAAATGGAAAACGATTTAGGACTGCCAGGAATAATTTTTAGGTCAATTTGAATTAAGATAAAAACGTATTTACTATCTCTTTGTGCCTTTCTCCACAATGATTGAAAATGTACACACATGTAAATAATTCATTATACCTTTATAAAAGTAAATCATGTATAATTCATTCTACTAGGTAGTAGATATAACGTCAGCAGGCAAAAATTTTTTAATCGAAAATGTCCGAGGAAAGCATCCACAATATATTTTATTACATATCGATTTATTACATTCTGCTCGAATTCCTGAATTTGAAATCCAACGAATACCGGGTGTCAACGAATCAATGACATGGAAATTATAATCGCAAACTTTCAGTGAGAAGTAAGAGAGACAGGAAGAAGATAACTCGACAAAAGTATATTTTCATTTTTCAAATAACGACCATTGACAAACACTTTCCAAAAAAAAATTGTATAGAATCTAACAATGCTAATTTGTTTGCAATTTTATCAAAAATAAGATCATAAATTGAATATTCTAAAAAAACAAGTATATGATAATTCATTTATTTTTGTCAACAGTACGATGGTTATTCGTGATGCATAATATTTTGTTATTATTTTTATCGAGTCTTATTTGGAAAACAAAACACTTACTAGGTAAAGACAGTGCCTTTTTTACTTACACTTTACATATATAGCTGGCTCGCACAACAAATTTTGACTTTTGCTCCTATTTATCAACATCGTGACAATTTTCTTGAAGTAAAGGTGGAAGGCAAAGAACAAACTAAAAGTTTGGTGTATGAACCAGCCATAATGACAATATCAACAAAGGACAGGATTATTTTACAGATCATATCAAGTAGCGAACCCGTGGATTAGATACATTTTCCTTAAATAACCATTAGTTTCCAAAATTCATCAAAATCAGATTTCCTGTGCATTTTGATGTTTTCGTACAAAAGAATCCAGTATTGATTTATTGACTCAGAACGAATTTTAGAATCGCCTTTCCTTTCGACGTGTTTCATCGTTGACAGCTCGCACAAAACTAAATTCGGGTTTTTGTTATTTGGATCGACGCTAAGAAGAATATTACAAACGAATAGATAAGTTTGGAATATATACGCAGACCATATACCCTAGACGGTTCACGGCAATACTAGACAACAGAGACGGAAAAAGGAGCCATCTGAAGATTTGTATCAGTACCATTGTGACGGACGCGGGATATTCAAATGTTGAATATACATGGAATATTCATTTTATTCAAATGTTTTTTGGAAATCTCAGCGTATTGTTTAGAGTCTCAAACTACACTTTATATTGAGTGTTGTGTGAACTTTAAACAATACGCTGAAATTTCCAAAAACAATGTAAGAATTATTAGGGTAATGAGGTTTAAAAAAAACAGCTGAATTATTATAGATTTTTTATTCAGAACATTTCAACATTAAACATTTTGGGTGATTATATGTTCAGGTTGCTTAGAATTATTTTTCTTTATTCTGTTTAAACGAATTTTATTGGCTTGTAATTTAATTACATTTGTACCTGTATACAGTTTCGATTTTCCCTGTATAATTTGATTTACACGCTTGCACCAATTATGTGTGATAGTTGTTATGGTGAATTTTATAACAAATTGAATTATATTATTTTTATGTTTCTCTTTGTTGCAAGATAAGAATTCAAAGGTAACCTTGCCTCTCATTGTATTTTCAATTATACGAATTAATTGTTTGGAGTATGGTTGTTTATCTAAACAATAGTTTATCACTTGGACAATATCATAAAAAGAACTGAGGAAATGATAACGTTGGGTAACACAATCTTCTAGTGAAAGATCCACCATATTCTCTAAACGAAATTAACAAATTTTGGTGTGAATGATAATTCATTCATATTCGATATATGTCTGTATGTTTATATTCATTACCTTCAATATTGTGAGAAGATTCGTTCAATTCTGGAATCTCAACGATTAACTCATTAAATTGAGTACTTTCTTGAGAAGAACTATTTGAAGACTTAGATGTTGATGGAGTATCATATACATCATTTGGGCCTGTTGAACCTATAAAAAAGTCTTGTTTCATTTAATTTTCACGAATTAACAATTTTACTCACTAGGAAGATTTAGAGTTGGAACAGCGTTCCCAAATAACTTGTGAGACCAAGCAGTAATGTATTTTGCCTCAAAATGACTATCACACAGCCTTCTAGAACCGTAAACTTTTTTTGGGTTCATTTCCATCAGTTCCAAGTTATTAATTACTATCCATTTCTTGAACCTATTTATATCTTTATCTGGATTAGGGAACGCATGTCTTATACTAGATATACTTTTGCAATAAGGAACGCAACATTTGTTGTGGTAAACCATTGTAAACCAACAACACATGAGTCACATGACCATTTTTTATATATTATGCAACATGTTCTTCTTCTTCTTATTTTTGACATACATCACAAACCACAAGAATATATGTGGGTCCGTGACATAAAACCAAAGAACAAATTTACAGTGCCATCTTAAGATTTGTATCGGTACTAAAAAAGGGATTCAAGGTGAAGTAACCTACGTGAACCGTCTAGGGTATATGGTCTGTGAATATATACCAGAGTTCATAGATATAAAAACCCTGACATATACATAGTCTGTTCCGTCAAGTTCTGTGAAGATTAGAAAGAAAAATATCAAAATATGGAGGGTGCTGGTGGTGCGTACGGTGGCGGAAAGGCTGGCGGGGCCTTTGATATTATTTCTTTCGTACAAAGACCCCAGGTTATTCTCCGGGGAGTCTGCTGGGTGAGTTCAATATTTAGAAATTCATTATTATGTACGGAATTACATAGAACTGAGCTGGATCTTAATTTGCATTAATTAATCGATTGCGTTAGGGGTTTATTTTGGTGGGGGTGTGTCATATATTATTGATTATTCCAAATTTCAAATTCTTGGAAATGGGTCAGATTAAATAATTTTGAAAATATTGACTATTCGTTTTTAACAACAGTTAAATTCATTGAAAACAATAATTTTATAGTTATATGAATTTTTAACTTGCCTTTGGAGTAGTTAATCAGCTAGTTATATTTACATTTGAACTTGAATGTGATAGCACAAACTGTTGAAACAAGTTTTATAACCCCTGAAATAAATATTGTGTACCTTTTGTTTAGCTGTGACCTATTAAATCTACACTTACACTATCATACACTATCAAAATGAAGGAATTAGCTGATAGGTACATAACACTTCATTGTGAGATTTTTAATAAACAGTTTACCAATTAGTTATGAAGAAGTTATTGTCTAGTGAAACATGTGTTGCCTTTTATGAACTGTTTAGTGACAATCTGAAAATGAAGTGTTTCTCAAATATATTAGAGGAAATATTCAATCTACTTGAATAACAGGGTTTATTTTGAAAGCAGCTTCAAACTATTAGAAATCATTTATTCAGTACCTTGAAGAGAAAAAAAGTCATATTTTGAATCAATTTCTTAAATGGATCAAAGTATAGTCAGTGATACACCGCTTGATAACATTTGCTAAATATGGATAGATCAAAAGTCAAAAATTCCATTTTTGGCAAATTATTATCGAAAAATCAAATAAGATATGTAACAAAACTTGGGATAAAAAAAACTAGCCTAGGGCAAAAACTTCTCAGTATTGTATTGGATAACAAAAAAAAAGGTCTACTTGATGATGATTTAACGGAATTGTGCAGTACATGATAGCTTTAAGTACAGCTCTACTTAGTAAACCTGTTCAAAAAGTTATTATGCATCAACCATTCATATTAGACAATAAAAAACAAATCCCCATATCATCCTTATTTGAATTCGAATTCATATATTATGAATTCACTCTCAAAATTGATTCTCTAATAATTTAATGATTGAACTTCATTCAGGTTCATTGAATGTTATATGAAGTATTTTTCAATTAACATAATTTTTTGTTTTTGACAGCTGTTCTCTGTAATTGTCTTCGGTTGTATATCATCTCAAGGTTGGAAACATGATAAAGCGACAGGCAAGCAAGTTTGTCTGTATAATGAAGATGTGAATGCTTGCAATTATGGAGTTGCGATAAGTGTTATTGCTTTCCTCGCTACTATGGGATTATTAGTCGGAGAATTTTTTTTTGAGCAGATGTCATCTGTAAAGACAAGGAAGCATTTTGTTTTAGGAGATTTAGGATTTTCAGGTGAGAAAAATTTTGTATTTTCAAAATATTTCAAGATTGAAAATATTGTACAGAAATCACAAGTTGATTATCAAGAATAACATTTTTTCCTAATATTTCTTGAACCCTCTCATTTATTTTTCCCAACTTCTTTTGCATATCAGCATTATTTAATATTCGCTATGAAATTGGAAATTGCAGCAACCCTGGATTTGGCAGTGTTCCTTCTCACATACTAAATAAAAGTATAGCAAACTTATTTCTGTCTGCTGAACCTACTTAATGAGACCATTTTAACTAACTAGTTAAGGTACAAAGACATAGCAAATATAAATATCTAAGGTTGGATTAATGCACCAGTCTTAAGTTGTATGTCACAAGTTTTAAATCTACAATTCACATTTTTCATTTGTTACTACTGAAAACTTACAACTTGTGCACAGATATGAGTAAATATATAAAGCGTGAGTTATCAAGATTCCCTCGGTCCAATGCTTTTGTGTTAACGAATATTATAATCTGTTCCAAATATTAATTATAGGGATAAAAATTCCTCAAAAAGCTTGAAATTATGGAAACAAATGGTGTACTTGTATACTGGGCATTCCATTTAAAAAATCATAACTCTGGTAGGCTACGCTCACCTGAACCACCCAGTATTTGGGAAAATAATTAAAAAAAAGAATCTTCATCGATATCTGTACAAAAAAGTTGAACAGTTCATAAAATGGTTTTATCCAAGAGCACTAGAGCTAGAGAATCTTGATGCTTGTACATGAATGTTGTCACTGATAATTAGTGTTCAATTGCTTACGATTTCTTACAACTTGCTACTTATGACTGGGTACATAAATGCACTGAGCCTTCTGGGTGTCAAAAAATCTTTAGATACACAATGGTGGGTAGTTTAGATTAGGTTTCTTTAATGTACAAGCAATGTTTTCCAGGAATCGACATGGTTATTTCAAACATATAAGTACTGATATAAGTATTTTTAAATCTCTAGAAAAATTCACTATGTCTATGGACAATTAAAAAGTTGTCTGTGACATGTTTTTCAACCTTTCCAAGGCATTTGACTGCTATACTCATGATATTTCAATGTAAACTTTGTAAAATCACCCAATACGAAGTAAAGCCTTCTAACTATTCAAATCATATCTGACATAAAGGTAATAACAAGTTATGCTAATGATAGTATTTACTACTCAGAGCATCCAAAATTTCAGCCAAACATACCTCAGTGAAATATTCTTGAACCATTTTTATTGGTTAGGTTAGGTTAGGTCCAAAGTGATTGGGTCTATTCTACCCTCCACCGCAAACCGCAAGGGTGTATTGTGGCTCACACCTATTCAGACTCTGCCAAATAAACCCAGCTTGACACCCACGACAACCTTCCCATATGAGGGTTTTTGCACGTCAGCTACACCTGACGATGCCTTAGATTCAGCTTTGCAGGGCTTTTTCGCCTCTGATTTTGGTGAATCATTACTTGAGCGCAAACGTTTGCTAACCTGCTCAAGGGGGGTTTGTTCCCCCACCTGAGACAGATTCTGCGTACGCCGCTCAAGAATTTGGTGCAAGGCAGTTTTATAAGGTACCCCGCTCTTGAGGAGACTCAGTCGTTTCCTGGCTGCACCACCAAACCTTTTTTTAAGGTTCAGTTGTTGGATCAGGAGTTGAGAAGCTCTCGCTCCTGAACTAAATTTACAGGGAGGTCGGTTGGAGTCGTAAACTCGACATCCATCTCCTCTGTAGACTCACACCTGAACTAAATTTACAGGGAGGTCCGTTGGAATCATAAACTCGACATCCATCTCCTCTGTAGACACGCTCTTGAAACAACTTTACAGGGAGGTCAGTTGAAGTCGTAAACTCGACATCCATCTCCTCTGTAGACTCGCTCCTGAATTAAGTTTACAGGGAGGTCAGTTGGAGTCGTAAACTCGACATCCATCTCCTGTATAGACTCGGCGTCAGAAAGAATTTTTAAGTTTACTCTGTCCATGAAAGTCCCATGAGTAGCTAGAGAAAGAAGGTCAATCACGGCAGAGCCCCGCATTACTGTGACAAGGCAATGCTACGACTAGAGGGCGCCCGGTACCTCGAAGGTTAATAATAATAATAATATTTATTAGTTTCAAGAAACACACAGTTTTTAGACACGTCAATACAATTTCTAAAATAGGTTTGAGAGGGTAAGATTTGTCAATATAGTTTTTTTAAAATGCTTGTAGATAAATTAGATTTACAAAAAAAAATACAAGTTAACAAGATAAAATTCCAATCTTGTAAGACTTGAATAAAATGTAAAGCCGTGAGCTTTTACAAATTATAAACACATAGCTAACGTATTATATATATTCAAAGTTGAGTAAAAGTTCGGGTGGTGACCACAAAAGTGTCTCTTTCTTCTTGGATAACTTCAAAAAATTGATCAATTTCATATAAAGGATATTTGGTTAATATTTTCTTCAATAAGTTTTTGAATCTTCTAAATGGCAAGTTACGAAATTCGGCAGATAAGGCATTGTATAGCTTATTTCCTATTTGTTTGAAGGTGATTGACAATGTTTCGTGATGAATTTCACTAGTTCGGACTTCCATTGTCTACTATATAAAATGATTTGAAATCCCTGAAACAAGTAAAAAAGAATAATTTAAAAAAGAATAGTTGAAAATAACAATTATATTAAGCAACAATAAACCTGAAATGAAATGATAATGAAATAACCTACAAGTAAAAGTTCAATTATTATATTTTTACTTGTAGGTTATTTCATTATCATTTCATTTCAGGTTTATTGTTGTTTAATATAATTGTTATTTTCAACTATTCTTTTTTAAATAATTCTTTTTTACTTGTTTCAGGGATTTCAAATGATTTTATATAGTAGACAATGGAAGTCCGAACTAGTGAAATTTATTTCCTATATTATCTGTTCTTTTCAACCTATTAGCTGTAGCAACAAGGTTTGATTTATTTCTTGTATCATGTTGGTGTATATCCTTGTGAGCAACTTCATTCAACAAGTTTTGTTGAACAAGAAGCAGATTTTCATAGACAATAACTGAATATAGGGTCATTATTTTAAGTTTTACAAATATTGGTCGAAACTTTTCATCATAATTGGCAGAGATTATACTTCTCACTGCAGATTTTTGAATGACTATTAAGCTGTACCTTTGATGCATTATTCCAATTGATTATACCATACCTAAGGACTGAATGAAATAGAGAATGATCACTTTGATTTACTATTTTTTTGATTCTTCTGATAGCAAAAACCGTCTTACTAAGTTTACTACACATGTTATTTATATGGTCTATCCATTTCAGGTTGGAATCTATTTGTACTCCCAAAAATTTGGTAGACTTTTTGTTATCTCGATTTAAGTAAATTGTTTCAAAAGTTAGAGTTTCTGTTTTTTGTTCATTGAGAATCAAGTCATTTGGTGTGAACCATGATCGAGCTTTCTCTAATATGTCGGTATGGATCATATGAGGATCATCTATTTTATATATTTTTTTGCCCAAGGTTGCATCATCTACATACAATATAGTTTCTATGCCTGACGAGTTCATCACGTGAGGTAGGTCGTTGATATATATTAGAAACAGAAGTGGCCCCAATATTGACCCTTGTGGCACTCCTCTTAATATTTTTCTTTTTTCACTTTTGGTATTTCCTAGATCAACAATTTGATATCTTTAGTTAAGGTATGACTTCATCATGTCCAGACAGACACCTCTCACTCCGTAGAAATCTAATTTTGCCAATAAAATCGAGTGATTTACCGAGTCGAATGCTGAAGTAAGATCTGTAAAAACGCTCACATATTTTTCTTGGTTATCAAAGGCGTCTTTTATACTATTTGTGAGAAAGTTTATTGCATCAGACGTCGATTTTCCTTTCCGAAATCCAAATTGATGAAGACTCTGTGTCTTATCCCCAAAAAATATAAAAATCAATTTAGTAACACCGCAACTCATAGTACACGTCAGTCTTACTCCGTTTCCCTTCCCACACCTTCTCTAGCCCTTACACAAAATTCTATTATTTTCAATAGCAAGAAGTTATTTTAACCACCTTCCCATTAATTTAAGACGAATATATAATGAAAAGAAATTCAGAAAGAAAGTGAAATAATTCCTTGTTGGGAGGCCCTATTATAGTGTGGACGAATTCTACCAAGGCTCTATCGAATAATTGACATGTAGCTTTGTGTAAACAAGTTATTGAAACCAACACGGAATGGCTATCAATGTTCATTATGTAGAATTATATATTTACGTTTACTTAATATTCATAAATTCATGTACTTATATTTGTAGCTGTTCAGCTGGACTCAACATTGTTCTGTCCATATACTCTGCTCCGGAATTTAAGCATTATTTTATAGTTTATATTTGTTAATTGTCCCTTATACATGTTTTACTTTACTAGACTTTGCCAATAAGATGTATATATCTTGGGTAATAAAGCATATTTTGAATTGAATTGAATTGACTCAGAAGATTATTTATATCAAAGTATTTTACTAGTTGTTCGTAAATTATGTGTTCGACAATCTTTGAAAAAGTTGGCAGTATTGCTATCTGTCGAAAAAAAATTGGTTCAGATGTAACGTAATGTTCCGTAGAGACAGCTGATAGGCTCAGTGTCATTCATCGTCTTGGCACGGATACATACACCTTAGGATTAAGCCATCGTTGGGATGCCATTCAGTTAGGAAATAACAGAACCACAAGTGATTCTGTCATTCCCGTATCCAGCAGGGTTACGTGGAAGCAGGCACCCGATGGCCGGTTTGCTCAACCCCCACATCCCAAGCCAATGCACTCGCCGAAAACAGCATGCACAGTGGTTCAGGCAGTGAAAGATGAACAACGACAGCCAACCCTCCACCATTTTTAGTGACAATAGAATCAAAGCAAAAATATAAAATATGCAGACAATATGCGCTTCTTGATCACCTCAATAAGTAGTAACACATTAGAAATCAATAATATAAAATTATTCTTAAACTTGTGAAAATGAAGTGTACTCGTTTTAAAACAATCCATTCGAGTTGTACTGTATCTGACAAATTCGACTGCAATAACTATGATGCCATTTTTGTAAATTCCTCAAAATTCCATGTCCAATTCCATCCCAAACACATAGGCAAAAAGGTCAGTCAAGCTTGCTTTGCTTTAAGAATATTATTTACGAATATGTTGATGTTTTAAAAACAGCATATATATTTTGCTAAATTAGGGTGCTTTTTTTAGATAGTTCACTAGAGTTACAAAATATTTTTAGAATACATAAATATAGTTTGAAAAAACTAAAAAACGAGCTTTTAAAGAACATTGAACTAAAAAGTTGAAAATATTTTTTTAAATAAACTTAAAACAATAACGATCGAAAAATATTAGTATTATTGTGAAAAAAGCCTGGGCGCTAGATATACAGAAAATATGGCACAAAGCGCCCACGCTTTTTTTACAATAATACTAGTATTTTTCGTTCGTTATTGTTTTAAGTTTATTCAAAAAAAATATTTTCAACTTTTTTGTTTGATACTCTTAGTTTTTTAAACTTTATTTATATTTTACTTTCAAGTTTCATATGCTATAAAAGCGTGTTTTTTAGTTTTTCAAACTATATTTATTATTTTGATTTTCTTTTGAACAACCTATCAAGGATGTTACGTACAGCGCCATCTGCCCGCGAATAGATCAAGCAATAATGCCGATAATTCTGTCAATACAGATCCCGAGCTGGAGAGTTACAAACAAACAAACATGCATACAAACAATCATACATACATACAGGTGAAGCTAATATAAAGCGTGTAATAAAAAAAGAGCTCACTGACATCATACTGAGTGTTATAGAGGTGTCTTGATGTCTAAAGTCATTCAAACAATGTCTAAATTCGAAAAAGAAATTATTCCGCACTCAAATAACATTGAACTATATTATTAAGAATGTTTCACTGTATTTTAAGTACTACATTCTGGTTTTAGTATAGTCAATGTTCTAAACATTGACTTTCCATTATAATTTGTAATATTGGTGATTAATAAAACTTTCTGTCAATAGTATAATAGCATGAATTATTTATTACTTATTTTGTTAACTACAAAATTATTATGATGATCTCATAATAGTGTATTTTTTCAAATGTAACCACAGTTATCTAATACTAGAGACATTTTTCAAATCATTTGTCTAATGGGCCCAGTCTACAATATTATCATGGAAAATATTTTTGTTAAATTGGCTTTCATCTAGTCGTCAAATAAAAAATCTCCACTCGGATTTCCTCAGTTTCTCTTCAAAAAATTTATATCTAGATTATATCTGTTGAAAACACTTTTCTCAAACTAGTTAGTGTTGCTCATGTTCTGATGATACTAACTTGGTTAGCAGAGCAAGTATCGGAGGAACGTAATTTTTTTCTGGTTTGGGAAAAATGTTTTCTAAGGCATCATTTTGCGCCCGAGGTTTCAATTGTACCTACGAAATCTAAATTTTGATTAAATGAAAAGTGCAAATATAGCAAATATATTTGCAAATTATATGCAAATTAGCAAATATATATGAATAATGATCCTTTGTGCAATCATTTTAGTCTATGGTTGGATAAATGTCAAATTGAGCTTTATAAAAATGAATTGAACAGCAAAAAATATAGCTATAGTTTTCAAGTGACATGTTTTTGAAGCATTTTTATATGTATTTTTGCAGTTTTCTGGTCATTTTTATACTTTGTGGGCTTCTGGTATCTGACAAATCAGTGGAGCAAATCGGTAGCCCCTGAAAATGGATACGGTGTTGATAATGTTCAAGCTGCCATTGCTTTTTCATTTTTCTCTATATTTTCATGGGTAAGTGATATATCTCACTTCTTTATAAGTAGAGTGTGCTACTGAATCTATTTTATGGGCAACTTTCAATGATCCTATATTTAATCTTTTGTTTGAATGTGATTGACAATATGTTTTAACATTTTAATATGAAATTGACTATTGTTTATGTGTTTGTACTTATTTTTTACATAGCTCATGTTGTAAGAACAACCTGAAGCGACAAATATATTTATTATTTTTTTAAATATTAACTTTTTAACTAACTCATAGAATTTTTCGATCCTATTGTTACTATTACAAAATAAATTTGTATATTAATATTAATGACAGTTGATCTTATTTCTCATATTTATATAACTATTGATTTTGTCTACATTCGTTTTTGAGGTCTTTGAAAAATGTTTTGTTTCAAATTCCTCAATAATTATGAAGAAAAAAATGAAACACCAAGAAAATTAAAAAAATTTATATCAGTAAACAAAACAGTAAAAAAAATTCAAACTAACATCATTCATTGTATGGCTTCTACATAATATACTAAAAAGTTTTAAATAAGTGTCATTAATGGTTTTTTAATTTTTTGGGAGTTTCCTGTACATAATATTGGTTAGTTAATTGAAGAGAAATTATTATTTTCATTGTTATTACGCTTCAGTTTAATTAATCATTATTACTATTGCTACATTGTTGCCTAAAAATAATTTTTCTATAGGCTGGCTCTGCATTTTTTGCTTTTCAACGTTTTCGTCAGGGTGTTGGTGCAGCATTTCAAACAAATTATGAAACTGATCCTAATATAACTTCATCATATCCATCTTATCCGGGTGGCCCAGAATCAGATCAACATTACCAAGAGCCGCCATTTTCTGCTGGACCAAACCAACGAGGTAAATATCTTGCTAATTGAATAACTTAACTGTCAGTGATACTAGACTAGGTTATGAATGCATCTGTCCCAACCTAATTGCAATGCAAGTTGTAGAGAGGCAATTGATTGGCGTTGTGACCCTTGTTATAGTTCGAGTCATATCTGCCAGTATAAAAACGGACTCTAAACATTACAAATGGACATTCAAAATTGGTGTATAATGTGATATAATGAATTTGCCTATTTCAATTCACAGTCTAACATTCTGGGGTTTCTTACTAAGTTCTGTATTCACATTACAAAGAAGAACTGTAGGATTTTTGTGCAGGGATGGAGTTAGGGGAAACATTTTAGACTTCTGTTAATCAGAAAAACTTGACAGTCATTAGTCTTTATTTAAGAAACTGTCTGCTTGATGCATAACCAATAAGCTGCATTATTCAGCCAGTCATATAAATTACTCACAGCAAATGAATTTAATTTGCCAATTTTCACTCATTTGAAGATTACTTATTGAAGAAATTAATGAAGTGCAAACACATTTCCGAGTTATTCAAAAATTTCATGAAGATCAGGAAAGCAGTAAAGAATTTTCTTGTACCTAAACTGCAAAAATAATATATTGAAAAATTTTAGGAAACAATTTATTTAGTCTTATATGGTTGCCTTAAGCTCTAATTTTAATTATTTCAGCTATAGGTTTCTTGTAATTAAGTGGAATGAACACCTGCCCTCGAGCGGAGGGCAGGTGTGATCCGCTCAAAATTTCGAGCGGATCGGTGGGCGTGTTCCAGAATATGGAAGTGAGATGATCAAAGACAACTTTTTAAATGGCACATCTCCCAATTTACTAACGATTTCACTACGGAACGGGCGAGCACGTCGTCGCGCAATCTCCGCCTTTATGTTGCATATTACAATAAACGCACATAGTCGGATGTCAGGGTTTTATCTAGGTACTTGCCGTATTCACAGATAAATACCTAGGAAACCATATTTCTATCGATAAATACATGTTCGATTGTTTGGAAACTGTATTGTTATGGCAGACAGTCGAGAAGTAGATATGTTGTTTTTTGTCTATAGACGAAAAAAATTGAAAGCAATTTGAAATGTATTTATTTAGGTATAAAAAATATGATGTCAAATGTATTTCGTGAGGATTAATATGCAGCTAAATTTTTTTCATTAGTATGTTTTATTGAACGAAAGTCATTTCTGTATGTTTACCGTCGTGGTGGATTGCGAATTTCCAATTTCCTCGGGTATCTAGGATCTATCAGTTCGGACAAGAGGCAAGCCATGTAGAAAATCTCTAATTTTGGTTTCATATCATTCGTCCAAAATGAATCGTCCTTAATAATCTAAAAAAAATGCCTATTAATTTTGTTATTTTTTATGCAACATGAAATAAAAATTATTCACAATTTGCTCAACCTAAAATTTCAATATTTATAATTACAAAGTTTTTTAAAAAATAAGGTTAAATTGTTGAAGGCAGATAAAATATGAATAAAAACCAATTTTTTCGTTTCGATATAACAGATTGTGAGATGTTACTAAAGCCCACCTTTTCAACTGGCATTCTCAACGGAGTCCAAAATACAAAATAACACAAGGAAACTCTGAGTTATGTGTAACTGCCCTTGTACTTGATAGTAATAATTATGATTTCGTTTCAGCTGCATGTGTAGATTCTCATCTAGACAACAGAAATTTATATTTTTTTGCTCAATTGCTTGCTTGGGATGCATTTTTGACGCAGTTTTGGGACACTTCACCTCAACAATGGCGTCATCTCCAATTAACCCATCAGGACTGGCTCCAAAAATATAATCGTGTTCATCAATGAACATTCCACAAAGTTCAACCTGTGATATAAAAAAATCAATGCTTGCATTAGTGTGTTGTTATAGTATATTACCTTGACATGAAAATCAGTCTCCAATTGTCTAATTGCAAATGATTCTTGTTCTGTTCCATACTTAGTGTTTGCGTTTCCTCCAAAAGTTGAATAAAGTAAGTTTTTCACCTTATTGGCACAGGATGTTGACTTTCACATCTTGCAAATTTCACCAAAATATGAAGCTGTTAGGCGAATACTTCTCTCTTGTTTTCATAAAGGATTGCTAGATTGACCTCTTGTATTGAACTCAATGAGTTTTATCTCCTCAGGAGTTTTTTTCAATGAATTGAGAAAATCTTTTTTCTTTCGCTCGAATTGATCAGTAGGTAAATCAGGATTAGCATCCGGGCCATAATCCTTATCTGGTAGAGCATGTTCCTTCTTAGTTCTGGAAACTTTTTATTCTTGCGTCTCCTGATTTTCTGAAGTTCACGTCTCCTTTTGATCTTTTCTACATATCTATTAATATAAAACGGATCTTTGCGTTTTCCAAGAATATTATAATAGTTCCCGGCAGAATTGAATGATATAGCAGGAGCTTTACAACGTATCGCATAGGATCTTCTACAGGAATAGTTAATTCTTTTTCCTCCAACAAATTTGAAGATGATGCTGTTGTATTGTTCAGCGATATTGGTATCCAGATCCGCTATCAAGCTGGTTGCATTTAAAACTAAGCGGTTGATACAAACTTCAATATCGTCCAATAGACCACACGCTCTCATGCTGGTGATATGATCAACTTCATTTGACCTAACAGAACACTTGAAATATGCTATCTCCTGACATTTTTCATGCTGTCCGAATACATGTGATGGAATATTCTTGAGGTCTCTGCATAAGTTTGCAACTTTTTGGACCAATGAAGTTTTTTCTCTAATCCTGGACATCGTAGCAGATTTTATTGAGGTGCGTAGTCTACGGGCATTGCCTTTGATTAGTTTCCTTAGGCCTGGAGGTATTGGCAAATTTTTTGAAATACTTCGCTTTCTATCTGTTAATTGAATTTTGATAATAATCATAATAATAATAATAATATGTTTATTATCGCATACACTGATATACATTACATAGAGTGCTATCGAAAATAAACAAGATAATCACAAAAGCCATAGAAATCTATAGCTTGTTCGTGATAAGGATACATTGTAATTAACTGTATAAATACTTAATCTAACATTGAAAGATAATGAGTGATGAATTAATCAATAACCTTATTAACAGAGACAGTAGTTTCAGACAGAATACATAGTTATTTTCGTCTGCTCAACAAATGCTTAAGTTAAATTGCTGTTTGAAATAGTTTGATTAACAAAATCAGAAAATAAAGCTCTTTCGGTATTCAGAATGAATTTTTTTACTTCTCTCTTAAACATGTGAGAACTGTTGATATTTTTGATTTTTTCTGGTAATATTTGGTATAAGCGTGGTCCGAGATATGTTGCATTTCTTTGTCCTATGGTTTTGTCACATCGTGGTGCATTATTATCTTCATTTCATTGCACAAATAAAAATGAAGTTGCACGGAAAAAAACACTTCTCCATCTGAGATGGGCGGGCCTACTTTACCTAATTTTAAAGGTATATTTTCAGATTATTTACCCAACATAAAATTGCAGATTTTTTATTTACCTGACACTAAAATCAGAAAACCAACACTTCATTCCACATTTCATTTCCTAATTGAATTCGTTCAAAAAATAGGAGGAAAGAAGACAGATTAAAGAAAAGCACTGTAATAGGTCAAAATATAATCTGTACTTTCTAGGAGAAAAACACATTATGCCAATACTTGTGTGAAGTAGAAAATCATTACGAATGTTCTTGATATAAGCATAAATATTTCGTAAAATATAATTTTTCTTCCATGAAGAATATTCATTTCTTGCAATCAATATCAATTCTCAAATGAACATTTCTGATGGTAATAATAATCAATTTAGTATCAAAAAGAAAGCTATACTTGCTACTGAAAACTATACTTAATATGAATACATATATTTAAATTTTTGAAAAAATAGTTTCTTGTACGAAGTATATTCAAATCTTATAGTCAATAGCTGTTCTTGATAAAAGAAAAGAACACTTCTCATAATAATAATTGATGTAGTAAGATTTTAAAGCTTAGAATAAGTATAAAACTACTTGAATTTCAAGTGTATAGAAACACGATTCATCTTCAATTCAGTGTAGTTTTTTTTTTCGTGTGTAAAGACTTCAGATAATATATAATCAGGTACCTGCCACAAATTTCTCGGATCTTCTTTGAAAAATTCCTCATCAAGTGATTGCGACACTCAATTTTTTGTATCAGAAGTGTTCCATAAGGTCGAGCTTCCAGAAGTTTTTTATAAACACTGCTATCACCATCTCCAATTAACTTGTGGTATATCAAACCATGCATTTCGATGCTCCGTCTGAAACCTTCAACAATGATATCAGATTCCATACTTGTTGATGATTCACTCCAATTTTTGTAGCATTTGTGTTCAGGTAAAGGAATTTCTTCATTCCCGTGGAACGCGAGCACACGGCACGAAACTTATTTCTAACGCCCAGAAATAAAAATTTTTTCGTTCCATATTTGGTGCACACAGTAACTGGCTACCTACCACTCCTAAAGATGCATTATAATTTACGGAATATGGGGCTCCAAGCCCCATCCGCTACAACAGTAATCATTGGTATACCGCTTTCACCCACCTCTCCTTAATCCTGAGCTATTTGAGCCTCTTCTTGACCTGCACCCTCCATGACCTTCCAAGCAGTCTCTTCAATGGTATCAGCTACATTTTCGTGGTGTTGCTGATAAGTAGATTTACTCATGAACGGTACATTTAAAACAGAGAGCATCTCATTTACTGTAGAGTAGCCATTTCCGGAGGAAACTGTGGCCAACGTTAAAACGCTATTTATGTCCATTCCTCCGTCGGTTTCTTCTATAAGATGAATGGTTTTTTCGATATTGCACATTTTGCATACTAAAATAACTTTGGTTTTCAAACCTATTTTATATTCATGAATTGGATACATATCACTTAATGTACAATCGAATGGTGGGTGCTTGGATTTTTCTGCTAATTGCTTCAATAAATATCCGATATCTGTCGAACGTCGCCCCTGCAGAGATATGCCTGTACACGACCTGAAAAAATAACATATAAGTTCATACCAGAAAGATTGGAACGAATATATTTCTACCTTTGGGTAATCTTGTCAGTCGTTTCCACATTTTGAACGGGTGAGGCTACGGCAGAGAGATATTTGCTACACATTGACTGAACATCATCACTTTCAGTTTGTGTCTGAAAGTTACTTCTTTGCATGATCTACACATCCATGTATAGAGTTACTTATTTTCAAATTGATTAATCCTTCCTTTCTTTGGAAGATTCTCTCATCCATTTTTTTTGTATCAGATGGAGTAGTAGAAAGCCAAAAACTTTCTTTCCCAAATAACTAATATAATAATGATAATCTGCGAATTGACAGGTTTCGAATACCACATACTCGATGAGGCCAAGACCAACATAGGGATATCTGAAATGGTATATGTTCGATCTCAAAAGCTTGCTATTGAAATTATTATGTTTTTTCAAGTGAATCTTAATTTTTTAGTATTTAGCCTAGAGTTGCCAGCTCTAAAATTTCTACAACAAAACAGACTGTTTTATGGCATTATTTTTATTTTATGTATTGCTAACTAATCTTGTTTAAGTCATTTAACTTTTCATTATTCATAATCGGGGTTTTCCCTCGGGTCTTTCTAATCTACTTATGCTCATAAAATTCAATATTCCCAAATATCTTTTCTCAAGCAACTCGTACATTTTTAATTCCTTAATTGTTCCTTGTATCTTTTATCTTGGGAATTACCCGCTATTATAATCTCTCCTACCTATGTTAATACAAACCTTTGTGAATCTGAAATCCCTTCTCTAACTGCCGATGTGGAACATGGCCATTTTGTAAAATTCATTCATTACGTTTCAAACCTTGTAACAGTAAAGGTAGAATTAAATCTTGTCATGTCTACAGTACATCTAGCTAGTTATTTTTTTATTCTATCTTTTCACAAGAGTTATTGTAATTCTTGTGTGCTTTGAGCATTTATACTCACGATAAAACAATCGTGGGTCAAAACAGTATAAGACAGAGTTTTGGTTAAGTGAGCAAAAAAAGTAAAATGGCTATTCATTGGAAAATATCGTATCGGATACGTCCGTTCAGTCATACCTCTTAATAACCAATTATTTCAGGACATATATTTGACAGAAATTTTATACAGAAACTAATAAGATATTACAATTCCATTCAAAAGGTTTTCAATAAAATTCTTTGGGAATACCTGAAAAACGTTAAGATATAAATTGTTTCCCGGAAATCCTATGAACGAAAGGAAATTATAAATTTAAAGAAAATATATCCCAAAATGAAAATAATAGCATTATCAAAACGTTTTCTTTCCTAAAATTCCATATTAATACTTCAATTATGTGTGTTTTTTGATACTGCTTTATAATAAAAACTGTTTTTGAGAGATATCCGAAAAGTTCAAATAATTATCAATAAATGAAACTTCGACAACCTGTATCCCAATAAACCATGGATCTAGGGACATTCATATGAAAAGAACGCGATTTTTTTCTTCTATGAATGTAGAATCGGGCATGATTACTCGTTTTGTCATATAAAATAAAAATTGCATGCGAAGTTGAATCCCAATAAATTTGCCCTAGTCATCGTTGTTCAGTTATAATGAGATCGTTCAAATTTCCAAAATGGTGTGATGAAACTAAGTATTTGAATAGTCAAAAACACTTACCTTGTCATCAATGATTTCTTTCCGACATTTCTACGACTACGTCTTTTCTCACTTGCGAACAATCGTTTTCCCTCCGCAACGCCTAACCTGCCCTTTATCTTTCTCATGATCACAAAAGAACCAAAAAGTGAATATTTACCAGAACGTTATAACGTAATTTATATAAATACAAACTCACTGATATAGTGAACGTAATATGTCTGCGCAAGATTCCGTACGTCTGTGGGTTTGGGGTGGCTTGCAATTGCAATCTCGGAAAACGAATTATCGGATGATTAGGGGGCGCCATGAACTGGATGCCGAAAATGCATTTTCTATTTTACTTCTCAATGGTTAATTTGAAAATGTAATGATTTGGAAATGTACCGAATGTTTAAAACATATATTCACTGGAGGGAAACTCCTATTTTCCATTATTTATAAACAATCAAGTATAGATTTTTTTTTTGGAGAAAAATCGAGAAACAATAGTTACCCATCTCAAGAATATTTTTTCGAAGCGATCGGTGTAAGCTGCATGAAAATCGGACAACTTTTCGTGAAATTATAAGTAAAATCGTTTCAAAGTGGGTATGGATTCCTCTTAACAAAACTAAATCTTTTTATATATGCGTATGTAAATTTTTATGTTACATTTTGTACTTCGTTCTATTGCTGAAATAATGTATATGTACGTATATTTTGGATGAAGATTTCAACATTAATTTTTTTATGGGTATGTCCAATAAATATCTTTAACAGATTTACATAAATAATATTCTTGTATAAAATTTGTCAATAATCTTATTTCATAAACAGACGACACGGCGATTATTTTTTCTGGCAAAACATGGCAAAAAGTATATCAAACAGAAGCAAATGGCTTGAAAAGGATATTCAGATATGGCTGAACTACAATCTCTTCAGTTTGAATCAGAATAAAACCAAATTCGTTTGTTTCACGCTTCTCAAAAGCGATCAACCAATTGATAAAGCCCTAAAAATACATACCTTTGAAAGTCCAGTAAGAAAGCATTGTGATTGCCATTTGATGAAACAAGATATCTTGGTGTAGTTCTGAATCAGCATATGAGATGGGATGAACATACCCTATATGTTACAAAGCGACTCTGCCAGCTCACTCACAAAATGTATAATTTGAGAGAAGTCCTAAACATAAAAATGTAATAATGGTATACAGATCTTTAGCAGAATCAGTTATTAGGTATTGTATTTTCGGGTGGGGTGGCACACTTGACTGCAACCTGTACAGTCTTCAAACTATGCAAAATACCATATTTAAAATAATTCTCAAGAAAAAATCTCTACTCAACAAAATAGCTTTATAAAGAAACCAAGTTGTATAATAATGAACATCTTTACTATAGCAAAAAGATAAAAAATACTAGATCTATCAAAAAATTTAAATGTAATAATTCAAATTTAAAAAAAATCTCATTCACAACGAACATTTTCCATTTCGGGCCTAAATTTTACAATATACTAGATTGCAGTTTGAAAGAAAACGTCTAATTCAACAAATATAAAACTGGTATAAAACAATTCGTCAACCATAACTATCTAACGCTAGTGAAGTTACTATGAAAAATATGGTTAATTGAAAGTCAGTTGTGTCTCTAGATGAAGATGGACATATATTCAAATCACTTGATAAAGCTACTGTGTTAACGAAACATGTGATATTTTTCAAATAAAGTTTGTGGAGATCAAATCGTGAGGTGTAGTTTATGAAAATAGACATATACGTTTGTACTTCTATATTTGTGTATGTATATATAAGTTTATATGAACGAACCTCATCTTTGTAATATAAATGTGAATAAAGATATGGATCCTTGTAACACGTTTATTGTCCTAAGAAAGAGTTCTTGTTGACAAACGATTATGAACTATGTCAAAGTAGTATAAAAGTAATTCCTAAAAGCCCATTTATATAAAATAGGGTGTCAAACACATTTTTACGAAACAAAATAAATGCTATACAATTTAAAATTAAAAAAATTTCCTTAAAAAAATATGCTATATTATAGTGACATACAGTAGTAAACTATTGTATTCAACCGCTTCGAATAGTAGTAGGATGGGAAAATAAAACAAATAAAAACAAAAATTTGAGGTGAAACAAAAAAAAAATTAGAAAACAATCTTCAAAGACAGAAATAATTTCATCAATATTAAAGTGAATTTTGCAAACTGTTGCCTGCGAAATCAATCACGAGGACTTCAGTTTTCCCAACAAATATTTGACGAGATTCGTTGAATTGACATAACTTTTTCATTTATGAACTGATTTCAATATATCAATGTCAGCGTTTGGGCTGTGCAGAAATATATAAAAAGACAGCTATCAGTTATACTGTTATATATTTATATTGGTTGATTATTCATTTTCTCTAATTTTTCAGGACCGACCGATTTTCAAGCTCCGGCATATTGAGCTGTAAAGGCCAGATCTGATGATGAGGTACTACCTCTGCAAGTATAAAGGAATGAACGCGTTCGTGTCTGTTCGACCTGATGTAAGGTAATTGTAATATGTACTTAGGAATTTCTTACATGATAGTATTAACCACCTCGAAATAAAAATTCTTACCCGAGTAATGAAACCTTTATTTTATCCGTATTGTGATTTTACGAGAGGCTAACTTTATATTTTGTAGCATGAACTATAAATGACACAGCCATGATGAGTAGGAACGATTTATAAATATATAAAGAAATATTAAATAATTATTTTTAGTAAAAGTTCAGTGTACAGTTGATGTATATGAATATCAAGATGAAAGCTTATGTAGAAATCCTTTTTGAAATTTGTTATTGTATTGCAAAGGATTTTTTAATATAATGTTATGAAAATGTCACTCATAGCATAATTGTTGCTGACTTGTTACTTTGTGTGCCATTAGAATAGTGGAATATTTTTCAAACTGAGTTATTTATGTAGAATTAGCTGGATTTATAGACTACTTAATAAGCAAATCTGTTTAGGAGATTTTTTTTATTAAACTGTGAATTTTGTAGATGAACATTTTGAAGTAATGCGATGAAAAGGGCACCCAGGATTACCGTTTATATAAAAAAAATGAATCTGTATAATATGTATCTGCATAATCTTTGGCGGGGCTGGTAAATGTTCTTTGAATTCATCCGATTTGTTTGACCTTAGCAAACTACTCCAAATTCGGTTCTAAACCGAAAATTAATGTACCTCTAGGCTTACATTTGATATAAATCATGATAAGGTGTCCTATTGAAAAATGTATTTTGCTACAAACAAAATTAATATTTTAAAATACATTTACCAGGGTGGGACCTCTAAGTTATATATTGTCACCCGATGCAAGTTTTATTGTGCCATAAATATAAAATCTTAGCTTTAACAACTGCGAATGAAGACTTCCAAGGGGTATTGTGAAAGGGATAAAAGATATGTAAAAATACAGGGTGAAATAAAATATCGCTAAAAAAACTTAACCAAGTTTCTCAAGACATCAATATCAATTGAATAAATATATTAGAATTTCCAATATTCAGTCATATAAATCCAAAATGACGTCCGCATGGCACACATAGATTGTAACAGTGACTATATTACCCTTCACAAAGTATATTCAACATAATACCAATAACTCATTGTGGTCCGTTGTTGAAATCATAGAATGAAGGACCAAGTGAGTTTTTACCGTGTCTCCAAGAGCATGAATTCATTGCATGGAGTATCAAGAAAGCGACGAGAAATGTGGTTAACTGCGATAAAAAGTGAAGATCTAACAGGGTTAATTCTATTTCAAAGAAGATATCTATTACTCTCTCTTTCAAATGAAGTAGCTTCACTGGTTTAGGTGGCAGAATGACTTGGAATAGACTTCATATTGGCAGGTTTGATTTACTTGAAAAAGGAATTGAAGCTATTTCTGTCATCTTGAAAAAAGATATTTTCAATTCCGTTTTTGAATTGATTAAAACTATCAAAATAAATATAAGCCATTCTGCTCTGTACTGGTGACACATGAATACCATTTAAAATGATTTTGCTACTGAAAAACCTTGAAGTAGCACTGAATTCTGAATTCATGCAATAAACTTGTCCAACCATTAAGAAGAAATCATTTTTATTTTTCTTCCCAGCTTTCAACACTAAGTCAGTTGTTGAATAATTATGAGCTTCATATGTTTCAACTTCATTTCATACCCATGGAAATAAAATATTCTGATATTGTTATCCAGCACAAGTTGTAAATGAACGCAGGTGATAAGAAAACAATGGAAAAACTAATCAAACCTGCTTCACTCCAATATCTCGTTTTTCCAATAATAACATATTCATATAATGTATTAATGAAATACCTCAAAATATAAGTAATTTCTTGAAATACACACAAACCAGTAAACAATAAATAAGTAAAAAAAACTATTAACTTTTATGATTGAAACAGTTGTGTGCCCTACAGGCGCCATAATATTCTCTTGGTCTCGAAATGTCTATTTGTCATATTAAGTTGAATAATGAAAAACAGGATCAGGAGATCATCCTACTCTGGTACTTGAATTAGACAATAAAACTCACTCAATGATACTTGTGATGCACTGTTTGGAACCTTTGGCGTACTAATGAATATTACTGGAGTTTTTTCCCAAGCACGTGTCGAGGTGGTAAAATAACGGTTTGGTGTTGGGAAAAAATTCCAGTAGTATTCACTCAAAGATAAATATTTCAATAGTGGAAATTTCTTCTGAGTCTAAATATTTGAAACCAAATTATGTTAAAACTGTTAGCACAACTTTATAGTTAATTTCATATTGCTGCTTGAAGGTGTGAAATAGTGTTGCCTAGAAGAGTTGTTCCTTGTCAAGGTGATAGTCTTAGCATTAGCAATAATAAACTGTGAATACTAACATATTTATTTTGTTCTCTCAGCTTTACCATTGATTATTCAACGAGTTACACCTTTGAACAAAATATATGCACTTCAACTAACCAAAGAGTATTGAACCCCTTTTCAGTGTAACTAATGGTACTTTCATTTTCATAAAATGAACCTTTGAAGGATTCAGTCATACTTTCTAGAATGATTTTGAGTAAGAACTCTAGATTATTAAATATAATACTTTTTTAAATTTGTTGCTCGCTGATAATTTTTCTTTTTTTTTCAGTATTTTAATATGATGTCATAATCAACCATTTTATATTGAGGGAACTGTATTGAAATAATTGTTTTTTTTTGCCAAGCATATTTCTTGTTTTTTGGTGTAACTCAACGAATTTATATATAAAAGAAAATTATTTATTTTTCAGTATTTACTTGTATAAATTATTTGTATAAGGATATATATGTTATTAATAAATGTTGGTATTATTTCTGTTTTTTTTTTGGCCACAGGTGTATTTTGAAGAACATTTTTAGGTACATAATGTATTTTTTAACAACTCACTATATCATTTTCCATGGATTTTTTCGTATTGTTACAAATATGCTCTAAACCTAAATTCAAGGCTGCTTTGTAAGTATTATTGAAATATTTCTTCATGAAAACTTTTGGGTGATTTACAAGTATCTACTTTAAAAATCCCTGAGAGTTGATTATGGAAGAATTTTTAAATGCTCGAATAAAAGATATATTTGACAGAAAATGTGAAACAGAATGGTGCACAGAATTAATTAGAGAAATAATTTGACAATTTGTGAAATATTTTTTTATTATGTGATGGAATTAGTACTTTTTCTATATTAACATTTCTTGGACTTTGTCAATAAGATGCAAATCTTCGGAAAATAAAGTATATTTTGATTTGATTTGAACGTGCAATGTCTAGCTTCTTCATTAACAAAATTCAGGTAAATCTATGTTGAAAAAGCATACAGGGTCGAATGTGGAAGTTCGTTTCATGTACAAGATCCGCGCTTGCAAAAAAAAAAGTTTCGTTACATCCCTGATATATTGGGTAGTGTAAACTTTGCAATGTTTATCAATTTCAATTGGATTACGTATATAGGTAAATAGATACACTTTCATTTCAATAAAATTTATTTTAGTAACTAATAAATAATTAAATCTTATTCAATAATATTTTGGCCCCAGGAGTACTCTGTTTTTTCAAGAGTTTAAGTTGCTTCTTCAACGCTGATTTCATAACATTTTGTGTTTCTTCCGATCCACTTTCAAAAACTGCTATCAGTAAAAAGCAACCTCTGTTTAGTTTCAACCATACTTTCAACTGAAAGAAGAAGAGGTTAATTACAGAATTCCATTGAAATAGTTTTTGAATGTGACAATTGATTTAGCTTTCAATCTCTGTAAAGTACAATACTGATACTATGTGAATTAAAAAAAAATCTAGGAGATAAAACAACTGAAAATGCCAACTAGATATTCAAATTTTACGAAGAAACTAAATTTGATATACTATAATTCTTAAATAGTAGGCACTAAATTCTCAGAAATGACATTTTTTCCTTGATCTGTCTCTTGCAGTAGCGTACAGGAATTATACTAAACAGATGATGAAAAATGATGATAAAATATATAGAATCACAACTTTGACAACAATGTTTTCATTTCAATGCAATATTTCTGAGAATTTAGTGCCTACTATTATGGAATTATTCTATAGATTAATTGTGTATTTTTTTTTCTTGAAACTTGCTATTAGTCAGGTCACATACCATGTCATCATTCAATTTTTTCGCTAAACATTCCCCAAAAGTTACATATTTTGTAACAGTTGAATCGTTGTCATGTTTTGCTAATTTTTTCAGTAACATATGCATACCAGCATGTTCTATACCAAGAGTTTCTTTGTCGGTTTCCTTAATTTTCCAATCAGGATTGGAAATAACATCAACTATACTATTATAAGCTTTTTCGAGTTCCAAATCAGGACCTGAAAAAAAAAAGTATTCAGCATACACATATGAACAGAAGAAGTTGCTCTCATTTTCTTTCTTGAAGATTTTACTTACCATTAGCTGATTTGAGTATGGCAATCATTTCAATTGCTAGTGAAGCATTTGACAACCAAAACTGCACATCATTTGCTACAAGATCCAATAAAATTTTTATTGAATAGCCCAAAATTTCGCTTCTCCTAAGTTCAATAGGTTTCTTGCAGGTTGCGATGTTTCTTCCTTGATCGAGTTCTTTCACAAAAAGTGGATGGAAAATTGTTGAATCGCCTGGTGCCACTAACCAAAGTAACACCTGAAATAATTTGTAATGAAAAGTTAAGATATTACAACTAAATCAGACATATGTGAAACCCGTCTTGTCCAAACAGATTGATTAGTTTTTGATTATGCTACATACTCCACCTATTAAATCTCAAGAAAGCAATGCAATCCTTCAAATGCGTTAAAGAGACTAAGAGGTTGAGTTCTTCACTTTACATATTCTTGCTTAAACATACAAAAATTATTACAAACAATAAGAAAGTTGCCTCAAATATGTATATGGAAAAAACAATATAACATTTTCAAACCGCTATGAGGTGATTTTATATTATTCACAGGATATCATTCCTAGCCATTTTATAACAAAATATTGTATTGTTAAAATGTTCAAAATGAATTGGCACACCTGTAAGTTTAGGGATTCATGGTGGTATTAATATATTTTCTCCATTGGAACTTTATTTTTAAAATTCTGGCTGCGACAATGTTTTTCATTCATTATTTAATGAGTAATCGCGTGCAACTATGCAATGGCGTGCCTGGCAAATCCAATGAGTTCAACAACTCTATTGGATAAACAATAATAGTGGCCGAAATTGTGTAGGCAGTGAGAGAAAGCTAAGTGAGAGAGACAGAGAAGTGACAACGGTAGACGCCTGGCAGGAATAACTGATCTATGATCAAGGTTGAAAATGATTGAATTACTAAAATGGCTAAAAAAATAGGGGTTGGTAATAACCGGGAAAAATTGAGGGTTATATGTATTTTTTGTACGCCACATCATAAAAAAAAATAAATATTGTCATTGAGTTCGGGTTGAACCGCATCTCGATTTTTGTGTTCTCAACATATATATATATATATATATATATATAGAAATATAGAAAATGTTATTAGGCAGTGTTGGCCAAATTTTTACCTTACTATGCATCAAACTCCTGAATATTTTATCTACAGTTTGGCGTCGGTAGAATACTCTACACGTCCAGACTCTAGAGCAGTCGTGTCAAAGATACGTCTCGCAGACCGCACCCGCCCCAGATCGCAATGTGTCACAGAAAAAAGAATCATGTTTTTTTTAGACGGAAGTTTTAAAATACGCACACTACATTTATTTCAAGGGCAGCGCGTGCCTAGACAAGCGAGAGAGTGTTAGGTACCTATTTAGTTATAGTAAACAACTCAATCATATACAGTATTGCCATCTCTTAGCAACAAGCGGAAATTCCCTATTATTTTTGTCAAGAACAATAGAATCTCCACGCGCTTCGAGTCTAGACTAGAACCTTCCTTATCGATATAAAAGGAGTGCGACGCCGCGACGTGAGTCTGTTGAGTCGAGTAATCGAAGCGATACGGTCGGAGAAGGATTCTAGTTGTACTGCGAAGTAGTAATTATTGTGTAGTCTGGTGATTGTGCATTTGTTTGGGTTGTGCACCTGCGATATCCATAATTGTTGTATCGAGTTCCGTAATTGTTACGATTTTGGCATAATGTCACGAAAACGTAAAGTTGATAGTGAGGGCAGTTTTTCAATCTAAATGGGAAATTACATATTTTTTCATATAATGGAAAGGTAAACCACTGTATGGGATATGCAATCAAACAGTTGCCGTTTGTAAGGAGTTTATCTTGAAGAGATACTATGTTTCACTGAAAAAATAAGAATGGACACATTTTCATCTTTAAAATCTAAACTTCAAAGTCATCATTTGATGTTTACGAAAGCTAATACTGAGAGGGAAGATGCCTTGGAATCAAGTTTTATTATTGCATTAGAAATCGCGAAGAGATCAAAATTTTTCACTGATGGTGATTTTATCAAAGACAAAAGTCAATAATTCTGAATATTTCGCAGTCAAGAAACACCGTTGCTTCAAGAATAAATGATTCACCCCAAAATTTGGTTCTTCAACTAAAAAAGCAAATTAAGTTATTTACAAACTTTTCACTGATTGTTGACGAAAACACTGATTTTGTTGATACAGCTCAACTTGGTGTTTTTATACAAGGTATCAACAGTAACGTTGAAATAACTGAAACACTAACATTCGGGCATTGTAACTGAATTAAAACATAAAACATCAGGACATATTATCAGGGATAATTCATCAGGAGTTATTGGCATCCAAACATTTAAAAATGGACCATGTTATGCAACCTATAATTTAAATAGTAAATTTTTTAAGAAGCAAAGAACTAAATCACTGATATGTCAGGCAGTTTTTACAAGATTTGAATGAAAAGTTTTCTGATGTCCTTTATTTTACCGAAGTTCGTTGGCTCAGTCGTGGAGTAGTTTTAGAAAGTTTTTTTGCAATACATAACCCTATTCAAGCTTTCATGCTAGAAAAAGGCAAACCAATCGATTATGATTATCACAATGACTGGTGGGTTGATTACCCCTTTCTGGTAGATATAAACACTTGACTGATCTGAATATAAAGTTACAGGGTAAAAATCTGATTGTCCCTCAAATGTATTTATGTATTCCTGCCTTTGAAATAAAGTTGAGGCTGTGGGAAAATCAGGTAAAAATCAAATGTTGGATCATTTTCCTCAATTAAAATTATTTGGAACAGTGAATCAGGAAAAAACTGGATCAATTTTCTCAACTTCTGCAAAATCTGATCACAGAATTCAACAGTCGTTTTGAATACTTTTCAACAATCCATTCAGTTTTAAAGTTTCACAGGCACCAGTTCATTTGCAAATGAAGCTGATAGATCTTCAATCAGACAGTATTTTGAAAGGAAAAATTAAACTGGTTAACGCTCTTACATTTTATACACAATATTTCAAGAGTTTGGATAACTACCTGGAATTTATAGTAGTTAGAAATGGTAGGACGTGAAAAATTCCCTTTGAGTATACTTTTTCATACATACCTTCCGACCCCATTCATTTACAGCCAAATCTTTTGCATTCTTCAATATATCAACCAAAATGATTTTGTGAAGTAGAACTGTATCATCCATGCAATCCAAGAGGGTTATTACTGCACAATGTCCATGCTCATGTTTCGATAACTCAATGATGTGTTCTTTGAGTGCTTTTATGATAACCTGGAAAATTCACACCTCTGAAAATATTTATATTTATAGGCGACTTTGTTCAAATTTGCTTACCTTTTTATCTTTATTCGACCCATGCCATATACACTGCATAGCTGCCCGAACTCCATCTTTACTGTTACTAATCACAACAATGTGTGGTGCCAACTGTGTTATCATTTCCTTCCTATCATCTTCTGAACACTCACTGAGGAATTGACATAAAACTGATTGAACTAATCCAGAGTCTAACAACGATTTGTTCAAAATCCTCATCAAATTTGCTTTAGTTGCTCCTAAAGTCGCAGACTTCAAGCTTTCATTATTTTTATATGCATCACGTATATGTTTTACATTGGCATCTTTAGCGTTTTTGTAAAGATCTCCATAAAATTCTTGTATAAGGTACTGTTTTTGAGTGGGACTTGCCCATGTAGAAAATGCATATTCTACTACAGAGGCACTAACAGCGTGGCTTGCCAATTTCACAGCATTTCCCAACATGCCGTCTATTACCTGAGACCTAGTTTCTGAACTGCCATATTTTAATAATCTCTTTACACAATGTACGCCATATTTAGACTGAAGCATATCCACAGTAACTGGAATGAGTTCCTAGAAATAGTTCAAGATAACTAAATTATTTTTATGCATGGAAGGAAACATTGTAATAATTGATATAGTGCATATACACAGAAATAAGTGTGTTTTCAACATCTTCAAAGCCCTACATGAATATACATTTGTGTTTGTAATTACGATCTATGATTAAGATTAGAATTAAGTGAAAAGTCGAACAAAACTATTTAAAGGTGTTCACGTTGCATTCATAAACTTATTCTGTCCCATGAAGCAAAATATGATCACATGATTAGAGCCACATTTAAAGAGCCACTTTTTTAAGTGACTCTTTATTAGTATTATGAAGTTGAGAATGGCAATTATAAAGATGTACATATTACTTTCACTATTTCATATTATATTTTTGTTATAAATCCTATATTGCATGTAATATATCGTAATATATGTAATATATATATATACAGGCTGATTCACGGTGGATGGCACATTAGACGTTTCTGGTGAACCATGAATATTGTATCGTCATTTAAGTGTACTATAAAATGCACTGGAAAATAACATACTGATTAAATATTCATTTTATCAGTTTGCACTAATTTTTTAAAAAAATTTAATAAGACTTACATATTTTCGTCGGCTGACACAAATTTGAGTTTGGAACCTAATGCTTCATTCTACTTTCAGAAACACAAACACTCAAAAGTCGAATGATCAAATATTTCAAGAACTCACTTTCAGCAATAAAAACTACATCAAATACGTAGGGCTTTGGTCAATTGTCACTTTCATTTTTTTTCCATAAAACTCATTTAATTTCCTCAAAAATGTATATTTTCTAGCAAACTACGTTGTTAATGTTTATCAAATTGAATAACACTTCAACAAGGGACTTTTTCGTTGGTTCTGTTGGTCTTGTTCTGAATTTAAACTAGAATTGTGATGTCAAATTCATATTTTTTCGTATATGTGCCTTAAAAAATTGATATCATATTTTTAGTTTGTGATTTTTTTGTTAAAAATTGAAACAGTGATGAATTCTCTGTCTTGCCTCACTAAGTTAGTTTGCTGAAATAGAACTTGTTTATCTGTGAAACCATTTGAAATAGGAGAATGAACGCCAGCAGCATGAAATCTTAAAAAAATAATTTTACTAGTTTTCATTACTGTAATTGGGTTCATGAAATATTTACATTTAATGTAATTTCTATTTTCAAGAAATCAAATCTCTGAAGGTAACCAGTACGGTAAGTTCTGACTTTACATCCATAATTTGTGGACAACTTTTCAAAAACTAGTGCAAGCTGTTGAAAGTAATATCTATCCAATGCAAAAAGTTAATAACTATACCTTTGATATTTGCTTGATGACTAAATCTGTTGAATATTTCAATAGCCACTGAACTAATCTTGCAGTATCATGTGCTAAAACAAATTTTGGATAAAGTTCTTTGCCTTTTAATAGATTGTGCAGTTCATTCATTAAGTGGGTACGCTTCTCTTCTCCCCCTTTCAGTGTTTTCCTTCTCAATTCTTCACCTATTTTCTTCGCTCTAACAATTACATCGAAACTGTCTTTGGATTGCTTACGTTTCAGTTTCAATTCCTTCTTCTTTTTCTTGAATTCTGTCCAATCTTCAACTTTTTCCGGATTTGGTTTGTTCTTACCGAATTTACCTTTACCATTAGGTAACAACTTTTTAGGTTTGGCCTTCTTAAGATGGGTCGGTCCCCCTGTCTTTTCACTTTTATTAAACTTAGATCCATTCTGGGAGGAATCTTTGTTGGTTGATTTTGTTTCCACCCTTAGTTTTTTAGTGGGTGGTCCTGAATCTTCCATGTCAATATTGTTTTTCATATTCGCGTATTAATTAAAGTGTACACCTATTAACACGTGTTATTATTACAAATGATTCAAATATTGTCAATATTAATTTTCAGGTTATGTTATTTTTATATTTCATCCTATCTCGATTGACTTATTGGCCTTAGCCCTATTGGTGCTATATGCCCAGTTACGTTTCTGTTGTCTAATAAATACTAGGGGAACTTTGTACTGGGAGTGCAGAAAGTCTCCCTTTTCACAAATTCTTCCTAATTTTTTTGCTTTCACGTACCTACGTGTTTATGGCGACATGATATTTCGTTCTTTCGGCGATGAGAACAGCATCACGCGACCATCCGCCTCATCGGGGAAACGGAACCCCTGTTTATATTTTACGTCTCAATTATTGTCAATAAAATGAGTAAAAGTAAAAGGGCACAGGTCTTCATAAATAGAACCGATTTTGGGCAAGAAGGTAATTAAAGCTATGATCGGATATTTGTCATGAGACTGAAGTGGAGCGACTATCGAGCTTTCTGAGTTTCAAAAGGATCTATAAACGAACGAAGAGTAGGAGTATACTTTTCGACTGTAAAAATAATAAACTGAAGTTACATTTGAATCGAATAACTGTTCTTTGATATAAACAGAAAAATAAACCAATATATGCCTGAGGTTACTTTCGCTCAGTACTCAGTTCGAAAGTTCAGACTAATTTTATTTTGTATAACTTCAGCATCGTTTTCTAAAACTACTGGAGGTGATGGTGAAACTACTGAAAGTGAAATATATGCCAGCTTTTTGCTGTTGATATTTCTTCCAGACGTTTGAAGTAATTATACTCTCAGCTATAACACAGACCTCTAATGATGACATCATCCATTTACGCCAGCTAAACATTACATAAAAATTCCACCAGACTATGGCCTAAAAACCAGAAATCACTAATAATTACTGTTAGTAGCGTTACTGTCATTATTAATTTTTTCAATCATATTATTATTAATAACCATGGGCGCCGGCAGTGGGAAGTATATATGTATGTATATGTATGTATGTATATTTGTATGTTCAATAGTACGCGCTACGACCCGAATGACTTGACTGATTTTAACAAACGAAGTATCGTTAGATTCGTGAAGACCGTGCGAGTGATCATTTTCATGAGAAAACAACAAAGTCAATTTTATATGGCACAAAGATAAGAAATTTATTTGTGCATCAAGTTATGATTTGAATAATAACTGAAAGCGTCTTGAGTTGCTTTCCAAATTTTTTCATCTCCTTATCAATGAATTCATTATCCTTCTCAAATCTTTTTCCGTGAACAGTCTGCATGCACAGGCCGTTTAGCCTCGCATCTCCCATCGTTGAGCGATTTCACGTTTTTACCCGTCGTAACGTGCTAAATGTACGTTTAATGCTACATGTTGTTGCTGGAATCGTTAAAGAAATCCTGGTTATATCACATACCGCTGGATAAATCGGAGTGGATCGAGCAATTACATTTGTATATTCAACAACAGATTCATTCAGAATCTCATTATTTGCTTCATTTGTTTACATTACTTCGTACCATGTGGTATCCTAAGCAATAAAATCATGAAGACCTCCGTAAATGTTTTGTATATCTTTTGCTATCGATGAAAATTCTTATTTGTCTGATTTTTTTATATTTTCTGGGTGAGGCGAAAATGATTTCTTGTGTATTGAAAAGAAATCAATTTTTTAGAGAAGGATAGAATCGAAGTGCGGAATAAATCTTCCACACTCATGGGTGGGGGATTTGATCTGTAAGTCTGTTTTTCGACTACTCGGGGACGCTTAAATTCAACGTTCAGTTTCTCGCAAATTTTCTGCTCTTTCAAACTCCATAGATGCATTATCGCGATGAGATTGAAGTATATGCCACTTTATTTATTCACGTGATCATGTATTGCTTTCATATCCATATTCACTTCCTGTAAATGAATAATACATGTACTACATCTCTTGTAGGTTTACATGTGCATGATAATTTTGTATATATTTATTTTATTTTGATCTGTGCATCTCTGTGTATATGTATTTTAATTTTAATACTAAGGAAATAACGACGTTGTAATGTTTCATTTACAATGAATAAATTGATTGATTGATTGATTGAATTGATTGCACACGGGCTCCAGTTGGCAGGATAAGCAGCAATTATTAAGTGTCACAATGTATGTTGGAGTATATGCAAATTGCAATCGTTTATTAATGTAAAGAAAAAGGTAAACTTTGACAGGCTATATCTCGAAAACTAATTGATTCTGACTAAAAATATAAAGTGTTTTGAATTCCTACCAGTAGGTAGTATCATCCTCTTATATGAATGTTTATTGTCCTGTATTATAAGTAGGTAGTAAACTAGGATAGTTGTCATGACGGCAGATAACAACAACAGAGGTATAACTGGAAGGTACAAACACTATTAGAATAACTAAAAGATAATAAAGTTTGTTTTCGTTTATTGATATTTTAAAAGGCTTATAACATGGTGTCAGAAGTGGGATATGTTCATAAAGACACTTCCTACACCTGGATTATTCATTTTCAACAGAAAAAAATTCCATTCATGTCTGGGAGACCCGACCTGCAAAAATTTGCGCCAACCTGCAAAATATATTTTCAATTTTTTGGGAATTGTGAAATTATTAAGTGAGGGTTGGAATTTTTTTCTGTCGAAAACGAATAATCCGGTCGAGATCCATAATTGGCAGACCTGACCTGCAAGAATTCTTGCCGACGTGCAAGGTATATTTTCAATTTTATGAGAAATATGAAATTTTTTCTTACTAAAAGGGTGGTGATTGAAATGTTTTTTGTCGAAAATAATAAACCTGGTCAAAATTCAAATCTGGGAGACCCGACGCTCAAGAATTTTCGCCGACCTGCAAAATGTATTCAATTTTTTTTTTTAATTGTGAAACTTTTAGGTGGGGGTTGGAAAATTTTTCCTTCAAAAATTATTAACCTGGTGAAGATTCATGTCTGGCAAATTCGATCTGCAAGAATTTCGGCCAAAAAGTAAGGTTTATTTACAATTTTATGAGAAATGTGGAATTTTTCCATACTCAAAGGGTGGGGGTTGTTTTTTTTGTCGAGAATGATCAACCTGGTCGAGATTCATGTTTGGCAGACCCGACCTGCAAGAATTTCTGTCGACCTGCAAGGTTATTTTCAATAAATTGAAAAATGTGATTTTTTTTTCATACTAAAAGGGTGGGGGTCGGAAATTTTTTGTCGAAAGTGATCAATCTGATTGTGATTCATGTCTGGAAGACCCGATCTGCAAGAATTTCCGCCGACCTGCAAGGTTTATTTTCAATTTTATGAGATATGTGGAATTTTTTCATACTCAGAGAGTAGGGGTTGGATTTTTTTGTCGAAAATGATCAACCCTGGTCGAAATTTATGTCTGGGAGACCCTACCTGCAAGAATTTTCGCCGACCTGCAAAATGTATTTAAAATTTTTTGAGAATTGTCAAATTTTTGGGTGGGGGTTCGAAATTATTCCTGTCGAAAACGAATAATCTGGTCGTGATTCATATCTGGGAGACCCGACCCGATCTGTCCTACAAGGTTACGAGAACAATTTGTTGAAAAAGGTGTGACGATATGGAAAAAGTTGTGTTAAATACAAAATATGTGAATTGCAATCGTTGATTGCTTAAAAAAAAGGTAAAATATGGCATCATACAAATTTTGACAGACTATATCTCGAAAACTAATTGAGTATGACTAAAAATAAAATGTGTTCTGAATTCCTAACATCATGTAGTATCATCCCAGAAAAAATTGCGAAAAACCGTGAGTATCCCATGAAGTGTTTTTGTTAAACAAAGTTAATGAAAAAAGTTAGGGTGGCAGCATTGCCTCGAGCAATACCCCACCCCGCGAAATTTTTGTTTACTAGGAAAAGGAGTCTGGCCAAATGCGCTCGAATGAGAAGCAACAGTCATAAAATTAGAGAGAGAGAGAGAGAGAGATAACTATAAACAGTCCAGAACCATCGACATAACCTTATGTCGGTGTCCAGAACTCACAGACTAAAACATGGGAAGAAAAATTCCGGGAAGGAAGCATCGTGGAATAAGAGATCCAGAAAAACAAGCAGCCGCTAGATTTGAGAGGTAAAGATGTATTTATAAAATGTATGTATTTATAAAAATATCAAACTGATATTTTAGTATAAAAGATAAGATCAATGCTCCACCTTTGAAACCAGATGAGCAGCAAATATCAAAAAGTCTTCAGAGATTCATTGACTTGAAAAACAAGGTAAAAAGTGGAACTTATCATACCAAACATTTAAAAAAATCGCCATCAGAGGATGGCAAATCACCTAAGAAAAATAAAAATGAAGCTGAAGTACTCAAGGCAAAACAAGCCAAACGAATTCCAACTTTTAAACAAGCAGAAGGCGAGTCTGATAGAGATTTCGTGAAACGCATCAATAGAATATGTATGGATGTTACACGAGAAGCTGCTTACGAAGAAAAATATGGGGTGGAAATCCGGAGAAATGAAGATGGTGAAGTACTTACTGTTTGAATGCTGGCGAATCAACTGAGTTATTAATTACATTAGTTTCCAGGTTGAAGGAGTTGTCAAAAGGCCAAAAGATGAATTGGAATTGTATTTAAAGAAACTCAAAAAAGATAAAAATAGCAATAAAAAGAAAAAGAAGAAAAATAATGAAAAGGATTCTCCAAGGTTATCTAAATGGCAAAAACGACAAAAAAAATTGAAGCTGAAAAAGATGGATAAAAACTTATTTCATGAAGATGATATAGAAAAATATAAGGATACAATTAAATTTGGGGAAGTGGCTCATGCACCTCCATCTTTAATTACCCCAAGGAAAGTTGGAACACAACAAAATGCACCAAGAGTAAGTGTGAATTTCTTATCATTCTCATTTTACAGTAATTCCAAGCTATTAGAAATTTAAGAACCGATTCAGACATCTAAGTCCTTGTTTCTGTCTTATTTTCAGTATTGATTTCAATCTCAAAAAAATGTTTGTGTATGTTTCGATGAAATATTGATGAAAACGTTTCAACCTTTGCCGTAGCCATTTTTCTTAAATTGTGATCTTGTGAAATTCATGAATTTCAACTTTTATGACTAAAACGGCATCAGTTATGCGCATGTTTACATATAGGTACTTTTTCAACTAATCTAGTTGACTGGCCTACAACTAGAAATACCAGTTGATGAGTTTATTGAATTCAGCAGTGGATTTTTGATAGTTGATGGTGTTAGAAATAAAATGTGATTTTTATGGTTATAGTGTTCATTATTATTCAAAATGAGTCTATAAGAAGTCATATCTTTGAAATTGTACATAAATCACATCACATCACAATTATATTCTGATTGGTAACATATGTCATTAGTTCTAATTCTTAGAATTAAAATTATGCCGTATAAATGTAGCAGTTTTGAAAATCTCAAGTTGACAAGAAATTAAATTTTAAAAAGACACTTTTATGAAGACTAGAATGTCTAAATTGTAACTGAAGATTGTCACAAAATATTGACTTTTTACATGGGTAGGTATATATAAAATAATATGACATTACAGAAATAAAAAAAGAGGAGTACTCATCCAGCTGAAAACCTAAGTTTCAAATCTCAATTAAACATATTTTCACACATGTATAAATATACAAATATATACACATGTATAAATATACAAATACACACACATATCACATACAAACATGTTTTTTAGAAGTGTAAATAAGTACATTTGTTCGTGAATAAAATCATCAAAAAATACTTGCTATAATTTGGTAACTGTATTCCAAATTCAATTTTTTTAACGTGTTCACCTGTATTTAGACTTAATAGCATCATGATCAGAAATATTATATGATATAACAGCATGATACATTAATTTTTACAAATGTGCTGCAGAAGCAATCAATAATGGAGAACTTCTAATGGGTGATTCAACATGCATGGTAAAATTGAAAGAATTTAACAAATGTAACAGTTTTTGAGTATCTGGAGAATATTTGATTTTAGGAAGTTATTTCTCAAATAATTATTGTATTGATTTTCAAATTAGATTTGTTTCATTGATTGTAATTGAATGAGAAAAATTAATTGTTGCATTTAGAAATGTAATAACACCTGTACATATTTTTTAGCCGGGAACCAAAAATTTGCTCCTCAATTCCATTCTTCAACCTAAGGATTTATTGACCAAAAGCACGTCAGTTCCTACACAAAAGGAAAGTTTACGTAAAATTTCAAATAATGTTATTGACAGAAAAGGAAAGAGAAAAGATTTGCCAAATGCTTTGAGGAGACAACTGGAAAAACAACAAAAAGAAATCATTGGTGCTTATAAAGAACTCAAAGCAAATAAATATTCTGGTAAAAGTTAATCTATTTTCTGTAAAATAACAATAAATACAATTAACAAATATTATTTCAGTTATTGATATGTTATTTGTATAAATCAATGAGTATTATACTATCAGTGCTAGTATATGTGCACAATTCGCCAATTATTAGAAACTAGGTTGACCGGAAACATTTTAGAGACTATCCCTGAGTGATCCATGTTAAAAAACATGTTAGTAACATTCTTATGATTAACCATTACTAAGTGTTATGTTTAACGTCCAAGAAGGTTTTTGACCCCAGTAAATAAAAATAGCAATCGCTTCTTGAATTATCTATATTGAAGTAATTAAAATTCTTCATAGATTTTTTTTTTGTTGTGCGATGTTCATTAAACATATCTACCTTCAGGGGACCCTGTAATTTTCTCTTTTTGCCTGCAAATCCTGTCAATCTTGGATGACGGTTGTAAATAAGTGCTCTAACTGTGATGAACATATCAGCAAGAGGTCAGTGGCTTTCATATCATCTTACACTGGATGGAATAATGTAATGGCTAAATTGCTTCCGAACTTCAAGCTGTTACAATTAATTAAAAAGTGTACCCAAAATCTTGAATGTCACAAAAATCAAACACTTTATTGATCTTTAATCAACTACATCCGAATATATTAACCAAGTGAAATCACTATTATCTGGAATTGTTGAAAATTTGATAAACGTCAATTACGCAAATCCTATGTTTTGGGAAGAACAAAAACGGTAATCAACCAATTGAAATTGTTCTTTCTTTTGCTTTTGTTCGTAATCTTATAAAACAAAGTTAAATTAGGCCTTGCGAACAAATTATTTTTCCAACCTGATCTAAAGTTAACTTGTAGTGCATCAACAGGCTAGCGAGGTAAATAAATTCACCTCGCTAGCCTAGCTATTGCTAATATTGCAGTGGTTCAAGAGCTAGTCTAGGAAAAGAACGCAAATTGTCACGGCTAATCATTATTATTCTCATACCATCCCAGTTACATCGGGTGTTCCGCAAGGATCACATTTGGGACCATTGCTATGTATGCAAAATGGTATATGTTTGAAGACATCCAAATACTTTATTCTGTGCTTTCATCGAACACATAATCCAATCACTTTCAAATATAGTATAAATACTCTGACCTTACATTCTGATTTTGAACTCCACACTTAGCTATTAATCACACATTTTCGCTGTAATTCAGAATTTAATGAAGATGCTTGGCTTTATAAAGAGAACCACCTGCGATTTTCTTGGATGTTTCAAAAGTTTTGTCCGTCTTAGTGTCATGTGTTTTTGTAACTGCATATCTGAAATAAGTATTATACTTTGTCGGTATACGGGTAACTGAATAAGTGTAAAACATTTAAGGAGGTGATTCCTCATCGAAAAAAAGATAGGATCTTTCATATAAAGAAACTTCATTGGAGCATCCCTTGTTAAGATACAGCTCCTTAAAGGGGGTACATGAAATTTGTATAACATTTATTTTCACAAGCACTGAAAAAATTACAATATTGAAATTAACCTGACGTTTTGTATTACCAAAAAGTAATTTATTTGGTTTACCCCATGGTTGTAAGGAGTGGAAAACGCAACCCCTAAAATTTATTTCCAATGTAACTTTTTGTCTTATTATTTGTTTACCATTTAAAATTTTATTTCTGATAGCCTGTTTCATTCTAAACAAAAAATATCTCTTGATTTTTTTGCCCAAAATAAACCAGTTCGCAGCAAAAAATTATTTTACAAACAACTACAGAGATACATTGTCATAAATGCGAACTGGATTTATTGCTATTTTGTAGTTAGTACCTGCATTAAACGATTAAAAAACAAAACTAATTTATTAATAGCAAAACATACAACATGTAGAAATCATAGTAAATGTTCAATATGTCTACCTTCAGACATTACGCATGCGTCTAGACGTCGGCGCATTGAGCCACGTATTCGCTCAAATATTCCTGGAGTCTCTCTGATTACCCTGCACGCATCAATGATGCGGTTTCTTAAGTCCTCTACATCGCGAACAGGAGTACAATAAACCAAATGCTGTTAATGGCCCTAAATAGAGAAATCGAGAGGATTGAGATCCGGGGATCGATTGAGCCAGTTCTGTGGTCCTCCTCGACCTATCCACTGATTTGCATATGTTTCAGTTAAATGCTGACGTGCTACTTGACTGAAATGGGCGGGAGCCCCATCATGCATGAAAAACATATCCCTTCTGACGCCCAAAGGAACTTCCTCCAGCAGTACTGGATGCACTTCTCTTAAAAATTGAACGTATGCCTTACCATTTAATCGAGAAGGTAGAAAATGAGGCCCAATTAAATCATCCCCAATAACTCCGAGCCACACGTTAAGAGAAAACTGTTCTTGATGGTTAGTTTCGACAATAGCGTGAGGGTTTTCATCAGCCCATATGTGGTAATTATGAAAATTAATAATCTTGCCCCGAGAAAAACTACATTCGTCTGTGAATTCTATCGTCTTCAGAAAGTCACAATTTCTTCTAATCATTTCCAGCATCCAATTGCAAAATTCAAGACGGTTCGGAAAGTCTCGCGGTAACAGTGCCTGTATTCGTTGCAGATGGTAAGGGTGTAAGAGTTGTTCCTTTAAAATTCGAAATACCGTCATATGATGAACATTTAGCTGGAAAGCAATCTTTCTAGTACTGGTAGTAGGTTGTTCTTCAATCAAATTAAGTACTGCTTCCTCAAGCTGTGGTGTTCGTACTTCTCGATGGCGACCACAATCCTGCGTTCTTTTGTCGAATGAACCATATTCTCGTAATCGTTGATGAAGTCGAGCAAATATTCTATGTGAAGGATGCTGCCGTTGAGGATACAGTTCAGCATATTTTCTAGAAGCTTCTTACCCATTCCACCGTAAACGTAATGCATATCAGCCATTTCCTCATTTGTGTATGCCATTTTAATAACAAGTGAATTATTAAAGTAACAAATTAAAAACAGAACAACACACAATTAGTTTTAATTCAATTTCGAAAATTCACAAACTGACAGCGTCATACCAATTTAATTGTCACTATCGCTAATAGCGACCTACTAGATAGATTAGTCTCGTATTTTCGCATTTATAATGTCTTTGTAGTTGTTCCTAAAATAATTTTTTGTTGTGAACTGGTTTATTTTGGGCAAAAAACCCAAGAGACATTTTTTGTTTAGAATGAAACGGGCTATCGGAAATACACTTTTAAATGGTAAACAAATAATAAGACAAAAAGTTACATTGGAAATAAATTTTAGGGGTTGCGTTTTCCACCCCTTACAACCATGGGGTAAACCAAATAAATAAATAACCAAATAAATTACTTTTTGGTAGTACAAAACGTCAGGTTAATTTCAATATTGTAACTTTTTCAGTGCTTGTGAAAAAAAATGTTATACAAATTTTATGTACCCCCTTTAAGGAGATGTATCTTAACAAGGGATGCTCCAATGAAATTTCTTTATACGAAAGAATCTTTTTTCCAATGAGGAATCACCTCCTTAAACGTTTTACACTTATTTAGTTACACCCTGTATACTGATCGATAGAGAATTTTGATTTTTTGCCTCTTCAGCTTATTACTATATGGTGTTGAGCGATTTTTGGTCAATTTTTGTCTACTAATTCAAATTGAACCAAAGCTCTGCCGAAACAGTCCCGAAAAATTAACCAGGCATTTGGCAAACACATAGTGTTGATGAATGCACTATTCGACGTTAGTTTGCGAAATTCCGTTGAGCCCCAACGTGGTCGATCTACAGTAATCTAAGACTATGATTTGGGGGCCTTGGTGGAGACTGACCCATCACAAACGGTGCGTGGGATGGCAGAAGAACTGGGTGTCGACTGCCATGCGGTTTTGATAGTTTTAAAAGTATTGGAAATGTTAAAAAGCTCAAAAAGTGGGTGCACCACGATTCAAAAGATCGAAAGATATTAATGTTTCAAGGTTTGTTCTTCTTTGCTTTTGCGCAACCAAGAAGATCCTCTATGACAATAGGAGACGTTCAGGAAAAGGTTGTACACTGATGAGTCACCCAGGCACTTCCTAAAGGCGAAAACCCACCAAAAAAAGGCCATGGTTACTTTATGGTGATCAGCGGTTGGTGTGATTCACTATATTTTTCTGCAACTGGGTCAAACCATCAAAGCAGAGTCCTATTGTGAGAAAATCGACGAAATTTATCGAAAATCGTCCGAAAATTGAAGAATTGAGCGTCTAAGTACTGCCTCACCAACCATACTCCCCTGGCCTCGCGCCAACTGACTATCATTTCTTAAGAACTTCGATAACTGACGAAATTAATCGACTTGAGTTACATTGGCAGCAAAAGTGCATTGATACAAATGGCACTTATTTCGAATAAATAGAATAAGTATTCACTGGGATATTACAGTTTAAAATAGACTCATAAAGACGGACACAAGTTTTTATGGGCGAAACGCGCGGTACGTTGTTCGAACAGAACACTCATTTTGATAAAACAATTTTATTTGCACATGTTGTTGAATACTATATCCGTCCATGATTTGGAAAAACAGACTGAGTTAATGACAACTAATTTAACAGATGAAGCTTCAATAAGATGACCGGTATAAATTGTCAAATTTTGTGCGGTTGAGGAAGACCCTATAACAGAGCTACTAGCAATAGAATTTAAACTTCCACGGCCGGAGATAACTGTGTCAAAGCTATCTTCCTGGTTTTTTGGACGTGGTCTGCAGGTTTTTGTGTCCGACGTTTCATCTACTATTGCGGTATACATTATCAATGCGATGAGATAACGGTCTTAAGTGCCAAAATTGTTCAGTTTCTGCGTTGAGAGAACAACTCGAGCACTACGACCGTTACCTCCTCACCTTTGATAAGGCCATAAGTAGTAGGCGACAGTAGTAGACAAACGTCAGACATAAAAACCTGTAGACCATGGCCAATAGCTTTGACACAGACTAGCAATATTTCAAAGTTATTATTAAAAAAAATGCACTGTCCCTCCGTGAAGTTGTTAAAAATATATAGCAGTGAACGTCTTAAGAGA